GTAAAAGATCATGGAGAAAGGAAAGTGTGAAGCAGATTCGATAAACGATTGAAATAGAAGAAGCAAACAAGGAGAGCGGCTGACAAGAGCAATGATCAGAGAGGTTCATAAGTTATTGAACGGAAATTACATCCTCTCTGAGCAGACTTCCCTCTCCAATTTCAGTGACACGTCGGTGGCGCAAAGACATATAGAGGGATTAGTTAACCATATTGTTACATTTTCTGTATAACCTTATAGTTTGAGAAAACGGGTTTTAAGTCTACGTTAATTTAGGGTAAACATTTTTTATGTTAGAAATCACTAAATATAATAGCATCGATTATGTTACCTAATTTACCTAATGTCCATGCACTAGAGGTGGCCATGTCGACGAAGGGAGGCCAATGGCCTGTGTAGAACCCCTGTCCGTCCATTATTGTTGAAAATGTTTTCAATGTTTTATTAATGATGTCATTATCATTATCATATAATGGACTAGTCACTAGTCAATGAGACGGACTAGCCTTTGAAGTAGACTAGCACCTAGGAAGGTTATTCTATGAAATTTACTACTGTATTGTGAAAAGAGACACACAAAACCAGTAAGACTACGTACTGTAATATAAAAAATAAATTCATATGGCACACTTTTTTTTTTTTTTACGAGGAATAACCCACCCGGGCACAGGTCATCGACCCATAAGAGTAGAGTCTAGTTAGGTTTATTGTAACGTTATTAGTCACCCCAACTCCCTCCTAGGAACCTTGACCTTACTTCGGGACCCCAGTGGAAATGATCCTTTACCAGCTGTCCTTAGTTTAATCAATATCTGTGTCCTGTGTTTCATTGTTTGTATAGCCTACCTGTACTTGTATGTACTGCACACACAGGTTCATTTATGAATTTGTAAGAGGGTTTTTCCAGGATAAACATCAATTAATTAATTAACCACTTTGGTCCATTATGCGTCTACTGTAGTATGATCAATTTTATATCTTTGTGGGGTCCATCTCATCAATACGCTCCCACATTAACTTCCAATTTTAACTTTTGACATTGATATTGATTTTGAAAGTTTGTTTAGCCAAAACAATACACATACAGAGTGGACAATAATAACAATATTGACATGACTGAGTTAATTGAGAGTCTGAGCTCTCTTAGGGGCACCTGATAATGTACAGTATATTTATCTCAAGGAGTAATTATATAACATTTAGTATCATCTGCAGTAGTACATGTATCAAATAACATGGTGTTAGTAAATACATTTGAGAATGTTACTACGATTATCACTTTTTATTATTTTTGTATTTATTTTTTTTACATTTATATTTGTATATACATATTTTACAATAGAGTTGACATACAGTAATCTGATAAGTGAGGGAAGTACTACAGTATGAGTTGTGTTAAGGTGAGATTTCTTTTTGTGCATATTCTTTATTGAAAATATCCTAAAAGAAGAAAAAGATTATCAATATACAGTATATATGTGTTTGTATATATATATTGTGTTTGTTTTTCTTCACATGGCATCCCCCCTCCCATTACTCTAAGGCATCTATTTTATCAACGTGTCGGTGACTCGGTCATTGTCAACAAAGATGCTCCCCACCGTGAAGGGTATTTTAGTCCTTACGGCGTCGACTTGGAGTCGCCTCCTTGCTAGGGTGTAGCTTGGACAATGACACAAGAGGTGTCATATTGTTCTACACCGCAGTGTTGTATATTATAGAACACTATGGTCCCAGGTGAGTAATGAAGGTAGCATAAACAGTATTCTCAACCGTACAAGCACAATCTCTTATCTCCTGTTGTTCCTTCATCACACTCTGAACAAACAGAGAATATTAAAACAATAAAACACACTAGCACGCTATTTATGTTAATGCATATTTTAAAATGAAAGTTGACTGGTAGAGTGCTGAGGAGTATAGTATCGTATATTATTATTATTATTATTATTATTATTATTATTAATATAACTTCTACTTTACCTCCCTTTTTTTTTACGTATACAAGCAATTTTCTTCCCAAATAGCACTATGAAAGTGGAGTTGTTTGGTTATGTCACTAATAACGAAAAATAAGTCATTCCTTAATGATTAGCTGGCCAAGTGACCATTGGGTAGGTGAGCGGATGTGGATTGGCTAATCTTGCGGTAATTATAACCTGACAACACCACCTCCGCCACGCAATAGGGAACTTGTTATCCTAGACAAAAGAGTGGGTTTACTTTCTGGGAGCCAATCACAGGGTGTCGTGTTTACTTGTCGGCAGCCAATCAGAGAGTATCATCAAGTGGGTGTGGTAAGAAAAATATAAGCATTACTTGTATGGTTTCGTTGATGTATTTTTTTCCCAACAGATTTAATTTTCCCCTCGAAGAAAGTAAAAAAATAAAAATAAATATCATGTGACGACGAACATAAACGCATGCCGAGCCGAAGTATTGTGTGGGATATATAGACATCTGATATGACTCTGAAATATACAACAATCGGTCAATACCTTTGCTAACTTGTGAAGGACACGTAACCTACAGCGATTATCTGGTATGTGTGTGTGTCTCTCTCTCTCTCTCTCTCTCTCTCTCTCTCTCTCTCTCTCTCTCTCTCTCTCTCTCTCTCTCTCTCTCCTTCCATATATCCTTCGCCCTTTGTTAGTTTGCTAGGCTAGCTATTCGGACTTATGGGGGTCACTCACTTCTCAGCCTCCTACAGATAAACTAGCCATTATTTGCTCTCGAAAGTCCTATTATTTTCTTATCTGAGCCAAGAGTAGTTAGTAGCCCTGGTGAGGTAATGTATCTTCTGAAAATTAACCATTACCCTCCCTCACTTGGGTCACAAGAACAGTGAAGAAAGTGATGGATTATGAAGCGTCAGTCGACTATCCATCTGTATGTCTTCCCGCAGTAATAAAATCGTTCAGTAAGTTACATGCTTTAAAAAGACTATTCCTCCACAGACTGTTAACCTCTTGTGTACGATGACTAACCCCTTGATGAACGAAATCGGACAACTTCGGGTGTTAGCCCGAGAGAGAGAGAGAGAGAATTTTCAATGCATAATCATACATCTAAGACCAGTACAGGGAAGAACTTACTTTACTGATGTGAAGATTTCCACTGCGTGTCGGAATTTTTTTGTGTTAAAGGTATCATTTTCTGTGACATTATTAATTAAATATTGCCCAAACCAATTAAATCTGTCCTTCCTTGCCAAACACGTGAGAAGGGTGTTATCCAGTGTGACTCTACCAAACACCACAGGTTTCCTCCTGTACTAACACTGGACAAACCGCCCAAACGGTTAGTAAGCTGATAAGTGGCGAATATGATAAAAAAAATGACTGTAAGATGCAAAGACAAAACATGTCATGAAATGCTACCAATAATGGAGAATTTTTTTTTTATTTATATTTATTTTCTTAATAACGAACGGGTCTTGCACTTAGCAATGGTGCCGTGTACTATACTGCACTGTATCTGTAGAACCCCGGTTGGTGGGCCACGCCGCTACTACCCATCCCGCGATCTACCAGAATTTGTTTTGCGATTTGCTGGAAATCGCGATCGACGTTTTAGGCACCTCTGGCCTACATGCATCGTATACCAACGTTGTCGTAGAACTATATAACCTGTATGACTACTTTACTAAATAAATATTTTTATTATTATTGTATTACTGGTGTCAAAGCGTCGTGGTTGTCATAGCGACGTGCACCACTAGCGGCGCCTACTGGTGGAGAGAGAGACACCGCCGCCCAGAGTTGCCAACTTAGCGACTTTGTAGCTAGATCTAGAGCTTTTTGTTTTTTTCTAGCGACATTTTAGAGCGATTTGCGACTTGTCGCAAATCTAGAGATATCCACAGAAATCTAGCGACTTTCTGGATACTTTTGGACTGTCCATGAAAACTCAGTTTTCCTAATTTCGAGCCATAATATATAGCAACGGGGTTACAGGGACAATAAATAATAAGAAAAGTTTAATACATTTGAACGGGTCGTGGTACAGAAGGAGGGACACGTCTATTTCCTGATCACTTGATGTCAGCCCGTCCATGGCTAATGTTGCCGTGTCGTCATTTATTTGTCTATTACCTTCGCCTTTGTAGCACCTGGGTAACTTACCTCTTTGTCAGATATGCAATATGAATTTCATTAATACGCTAAATTTTAAAGAATATTATCAAAACATCTTATAGAATTAATTCTATCAAGCCTGCGTGGTTCCAAACTTGTCATCCGCGTCCACCATGGGTGACCCATAGACTCCATACAGTTGCCCCGACACTGTTCACCCGCTTTGCCAAAAACCATCAAGGAAAGTTTCCGCTTGTTTGCATGCTGTTTATTAATTTGAACCCTTCATAGTCCCAATAGAAAATGGGTAAGCCACAGTATTCGCAGCGATTTAGGAAGGAATGGCTCAGAGATGACAGATACAAAAATTGGCTTCTGGAGGTGCCAGGAGATAATAAAAAAGGATTTTGTAAATTTTGCAAGTGTACTTTGTCTGCTAAGTTGTGCGACATTGAAAAACACAAAAACACTAAAAAACACAAGAAAGCAGAATAGCCGTTTAGTGCAGAAAGAGACAATTTTACCATTCAAGAAACTTGGTGAAGCAAAAAAAGTGGAGGGAACTCTGGCCATGTTTGTAGCTGAACATTGTTCTATTCGTGTGGTAGAACACTTAAGTGAAGTGTGTAAAGTATGTTTTAGTGACAGCAAGGCAGGCAGTGAACTCAAGTTAAAAAGATCAAAGTGTTCTGGGATAATATGCAATATTCTTGCGCCACATTTCACAGAAAATCTGAAAAATGATATTTTTACATAATGCATTTTATTTATACTCCGTCCATTATAGTCGGCATTATGAAAATATTATTTGCATCAAATTACTGAAGGGGGGAATAATAGCTAGCGACTTTCCATGGAAGATTTAGCGACATTTAGCTACTTTTAGGTACCAGCCTAGCGACATGTGAAAATACGAGTTGGCAACCCTGTACACCGCCGCCATCACCACAACCAGTCGTCTGCAGTCTCTCACAGTGACTGAGTGAGATGTTACGAACTTCTGTGGCCATCAGGGCGGCCCTACCTCGGCTGACGTCCAAAAATGTGGTCAAGAAGACTACCCAGCGTGGCTTGTCCACCGCCATGGGCACCACAACCAGGAAAATTAGGTAAATAGCCGCGGACTTCCCAGTTGTTGACACCAATAACAACTGCCGGCGTGATCAGCTGATTCTCGTTTTTAGACCCCATAAATCCCACCAGTTTACATCAAATCGTGATTAGATTCTGAGTTTTACATATTCTGTGTAACTTTTTGTGTGTGGTGAGGTGTATCATTACTGGGCCGGCACACAGCAGTCTTACCACCAGCCTGGCAGCTTGCCTGCCCTATTTGTTATACGGTAAACATTTTAATGGGTAAATTTGCATAAGTGCACCACACTGTTAGAAGGTAAAAAATATATTTTTCTAGTGTATTTGTGTGTGTTTAGAAGGAGTATGACCTTCATTTCCGTCGGAAATTAGCCGGTTTTTTTATCGATTTTTGGTTGTGGGACGTTTTCCGAAAAAAAATAATGGCTAAGCGAATAAAAATTACACCAAAAATTACTAGAAAAACAAAAACCAAACCTAACCTTACTGACTCGCCATATGGTGGAATCACCCATTTCTTACCTTATTGGCCTGGTTCTTGTTTGTCGTTGGATTATGAGATTCTTACAGGTTGCTGACGTTGATTCTCGCTTAACTGGGGGTATAAGCGGGCGGAAGAACACCATGCGATCGAAAAAATGCTATAGTTTCTTCGTTTTTTTCCCCAAAACTCGCAATCAGCTCCATATAATTTAAGTTACACCCATCGCAGACTTCCATGGTCGGAAATGAATTTGAATTTCGAAATATGAGACCCAAAATAAAAATCGAACTTGATTGGGCCAAAATTACTGCGGATTAAGTAAAAAATCATTTTAATTGGTTGCAAAAAAAAAAGGCTTTTGATTGGCCGCGTGACGTGTACGGGAACACATGCGCGTGATGATTTATGAAGGAGACACGCAGTGTGGGAGGTGACATAGGCGATAATGGCGTTAGATTAATGGAAGAAAATAGAGAAAATTTTGGATACGGTATCTCTGTTATTATACATTTGTGCCGGTAATGTAATAGATGAAAATTATCTTCATCAGAGAACTTTGTTGGGTATTATTATTGTTTCGGTCATTCAGCGAGGTTATGTTTAGGTTGAAATTACTGTATGTTCTTCCGATGGTTTTTGATGTATTTTGAACGATTCTGACCTTCATTTCAAATAGGTGGATGACCAAAACGATAATTTTACTCATTTTGTTTATTTATGCATTTTAATATTGGGTAAATTTGCATTTCAGCCCCAACTACTGTCTGATTCATATGAATATGACCTTCATTTCCATCACAAATGGGTGGTTACTGAGTCCCTCCCCCCAAAAAAGTGCTCTAACTTAGGTGGGGCTGAAACTGCAGTACCTGTAATACCTAATGTTGTGGTATTATTTTATTTGTGGTCATCTGGGGAATAGGTTAGGTTAGTTTAGATATCTAAATACAGGGATGACCAAAACTAAAATTTTACCTAATATTATCAGTATTATATGTTGCTTTTTCGTGATTAGAATAAACAAGTGACAAAAAATCCATCTACCAAAATCATCATTATTATGCCCACAGAGTTTTATGTATTTGACTATTAATACCAAAGGTGAAGTCATTGCCCGAGTGTCCTGGTCAACTAATGTAACCTAATGACAAGAACTCCAACTGGGTTGGTAGGGCACTCAGGCTTGACAGCAGAATACTCGGTCTAGGGCAGGGGTCAGCAACCTCCCCGGAAAGGGGTACATATACAGCCAGCTGAGTGATTTCTAAATTTGGGCTATGTGGCAGGTATGACTATGATTATTCCTTATATTATGGGTGAAAATAAAAAGCAGTGGAAATCAACATATTGCTGGATCAACATACTGCTGTGAGCAGACATTCGGTGTGCTTAGTTTTGTTAAGAACAAGTACAGAACTTGTGAAGGCTGCTGTAACACACTTTGAACCAACTTTTTCTGAAATTGCAAATCACATCCAGGCTCAACCCTCACATTAGTTTTTGTATTGATCTTGTATTTGTAATTGGAATTGAAGCCCTTAATTTCCTATGCAAAAAGCAATTTTTAATTTACCTGAATATAACATCACATAACATCACATCATTTTTGGGGTGCGGGGGTTATTGTACTATGTACTGCAAGATATCATAATACTACTTTATAAAGCAATTTCCCCTGTATGCTTGTATTTCGAGTACGAATCTGTTATTAAACCGTTATTTTGTACTGTTTCAAGACAGTTTCATATTTCCATATTTTGTCTTGCTCAAGGTTGTTTCCCTTATTTCTTTACATGATATTTAACTGGGCTAGTGACTAGTGCTATTATTACAATGCAGAGTATGTATATGCTGAAAAAGAAAACTATATTTAGTCTTAAATATCAGTGTTTTTTTATAACATTTTGCAGACAATGAAATATAGTCTTGCATTTCTGATTTTACATTCATTAATGTGGAACGCAGTGCTGACTTATGTTTGCTTAGTACACCTGCGGCTGATCTCTGTTTACTTGCACCATTAAGTGGCCGACTGGTGTATAAAGGTTGCGGACCTCTGGTCTAGCGGATACTCTGACCTGAATCCCAAGGATGTGAATTCTTGGGGCATCATTAATCTTTAAATGATGCCCATCATCTGTGGAAGCAATGATTCTATACTGTAGGAGGATGGCACACTCCAGTGAGTGAACTTGTTCAACTCAACTGTTATGCTGCCAAGTGGCTGCAAAGTATAAACAATGGTAATAGTGTAGCAGACGATTAGCACCCAAAGAGGTTTATAGAATTCATTCATATTTTCCACAGGTGTTCTTTGGATGATTTTAAACATTAAATATGATACAACAACTTTTACCTATAGTTTTAAGTAGTGTATTTAATTTTTTTTTGTTTTCCCCTCTCCACAGTCATAAATCACCTGTAGTGGGCAGGGCATGAAAGAAGGAAGTTATGGGGTAAAATACTGCAAAATCTAACCTGATCATATGGCAGTAATTTTGTCTCTTACTGAAGACCGTAGGCTTTGTGTTATGTCAGTTGACGTTTTGATCTTTTACAGGCCTATTTGAATAAAATGGGCGGGCCTGGCTACATTATGCTGCCAAGTAATTATCTTTCACTCACACATGAGAGCCACCCAGTCTCTTCTTATTAGCTTCTCTGCTTTTATGATGTAGAAATCTCGCTCTTTGATTTGACTCACGTCGCCATGTGTTTCTACCCTCAACCCCCAAGCAAATATCATGATCAATTACTGGAACATTAATAATTATTGTTAATAGTGTAAATAGTAATAACATAGTAAACCAGTTGTCCTGTACCTCATAATGCCTACAAATTAGTGTTGTTTACCTCGCTACTCTTGTGTCACGCACGCCAGTTCACAAACATTCTCAACTCTTCCTAGCCTCTGTGTTGCCAACTTGTGGTAAGGACATGTATTTAGTTTCTGTGAATGTCATGCATAGCAAATATGTAAGACTACAAAAGATTTTATTTGTTTTTTAAATATAACCACTTAGGGGCGGGGGATGCCAACCATAGCCCGAAGCCCTGGGGTTAAGTAGACAAATCTTGGTAAATACAATATTTAAAAGTTGCCAGGCACAGAAATTACTATGGAAAATTGGTTGTTATAGTTTATTTCATCATGTTTCATGCAATTTTTACCTTCATATCTGTCCAAAATGAGTAGTTATGGAGTTATGATTTCTCCAATTATGAACAATGTTGGTTGCTCAATGTGGACGTGGCATTGAAGTAAAGGGAAATTTAGGGGTAGAAAAGCACACAAAAATTTACAAAATGAAAGCTTCTCGCCAGAGACACCAGAAGGACCTGCCATAACCACCGCCCCCTGGATGCCCCAGTTTGTAAAGAGAAACTTACCTTAATTAACAGTTGCAGGAGGATAAAGTTTGCCACTTTAATGAGGAAGTGTTGCAGTATGGTGTTCTCATCACTGGGGTGTGTTTGGAACATGTACCAAACAAAATAGTGGCTGTAATGTTCTTTCTTGTTGCTGGCACTAAGCACCCAATTTTCGATGTCCTTCCACAGACGTTTTACATTTTGCGTATGCACGCAATAGACAGATCCACAGAGTTCTCACTATGGTTAACAGTTCTGTTTGTACAGTATAACCAATTACACCGAGGGTATTGTAAACCCTCCATAGGTCAGTATGGATAACACTACCCGCTTTCATGAAATGCTGAATTAACGATATGATGGTCTCAGCACTGTGGTCGGGCACTGGTATAATGAATTTCCATCTCAAAACAGTTTCTATGCCCTTGACACCTACACTCCTTACACCTCATGGCCATGATTGTATTTAGACTTTTTGAACTTGCTCTCATCCACTTCAGCTACTACCCCAGGACAACCAATGGGTTCCTGGTTATCCACCCAATATATGCAAACCTCTCATTAAAAGCTTTACCAGTCGACAAAAGTTGTAGATGATAATTCCAAATTTCCTGTTGCGGAACATGGTGAGCACAGTGAGCCCACCTAATTGGGGGGGGGGGGGCCTATATGGCCCCCCCCAGAAATTTTGTTGAAGTCTGACCAATATCATATGGGCCTTTTGAGGTAATTTTGAAGCCATGTGCACTTGATATTAGGAGATATTCTGAGGTCAATAATAATTATTTTTTACTATACAAAAATGCCCAAGTACAATACAGTACTGCATTTAAGAAAAAAATATTGTAATTTTCTGATGAAAATGGGGGGGTCCTGATCCCAGGACCTCCCTCTTGATCTGCCCCTACTGTCTTGCAACATTACCAAGTACAGTATGCTGATCTTTATGATACTGACAGTCTGAATCACACCTTGGGCACTTGACTGAAGAAGTGAGAACACTTGGAGCAACTTTCACAGATAGATGCCATCTTTCAACTACCTATACTGTACTCATTTCAAATTCCGGAGCTTGAGCATGCTCAAACCATTGATTTACTGATTGTTCTTTAGTTGCCTTTTCCCATGCTTAGTTAAAAAATGGGTTTTGAGGATCACTCCATCATTTCTGTAAAGGCTCTATTCTCAAAATACAGCTGTAATATTAAACATGGTAGCTGCATACCATTGAAAGCTATCAAAATATAATACGGTACCGTAGTTACCTTACCTACAGTTAGTAAATTACTGTATAAAAAAAAAACTCAAGTTCCCAATTAAAGGACATTCCATGTAGTATTAGGGAGCCTTTCTTCCCTGCTCCTGCCTCTGTACAGTACTTGGCTTGGGTAAATTATGATTCATTCATGAAATTAGGAAATATCCAATTGTTGGATTGAATCCAGAATCCCCATATGATTGTAAATGCTGTTGAAGTGAAGGACCCTGGTCTCCACCCTCCACAAAGCCTGCTAGAAGTGGGTGTGCTGATTTTTAGCTGAGGTCTGATGAGAATGATCCAGTTTGGGCTAGAAGATAAGCTGCTTTGGCAGCACCTTGATATTCTTTATTTGAACATGAAAATGCAAGCACTGTCACAAAGGGAATAGCCAGCTCTGTAAGGATAAGTCATTCATGCCATTCTCCGTCAAAAAGCAAGTGATATTTTAAAGTTCAATAATCCATTTTCATTTTTATTTCAGAAGCATGAATGTCCTGGGAGGTCACACTGCAGGCACAAAAAAACCAATGGCAGTAGTTTCACCCATCCTCCGTGGCTATGCATCAAACAATGATCTTCCTTCCCACATCAAGGTCAACCTCCCGGCACTCTCCCCAACTATGGAGATGGGAACCATCATCTCCTGGGAGAAGAAAGAAGGTAGATATTGATCTATAAAGTAAATGATTTTTTTTTTTTTTGCCAACTACAAAGGGCATGACATGATAATTTTTGAAAATAAATAGAAAAGACTGCTGTCTCACGCTGTTTAGTTGCAAATACTGCTGTTTAATCTGCATTGCAATAGGCAAGTCATTTGTCATGGAATATAGAAAACTGTAATAATACAGTAAAAGAAAGTGTCTGCGTGAGTGTCTGTCTGTTCCAGCACTAGCTCCAAAACAGAAGCAGTTAGAGACATGAAACTTAACACACATACTACATGGGTCTCAAGTTTGTGCACCTAGGTATTACTATTATCCACAGCAAGAACCAAAAATCTTCCTCTACGGAGATATCACCTCTGCGATTGTGGAAATGGTTACTCGCGTTTGGGAGGTCAAACTGTGACAGTCGTTGTTATACAGTACTGTATGTATCTAACCCAAGCAAAGCCAGGCATTTTGCTAACACATACTGTACAGTACAGTATTGTACAGCAAAAGATTTGTAGAATTCCGATTGGTAACATACTATTCTTATCACTTTCCTGCTTATAGAATGTAGAAGGGCTCAAAAAAAGGTGATCTCAGTAGAATTGTCACTGTGTGCATTGAATATGGAGTCTTGCTTAATTTTTGTTTATAAGAAATCGCAAAGTTATATTACTCCACTGTATTACGTTTAGTATTGTCCCTCTTTTATTTCTTAGTAAATGTTTAAGATATGCTGTATACACTACATTATTTGCAATACAGTAGGGTCGGGATGTATCGCGAGATAGGGTTCATGTATGTTCACCTATACTAAATTGCAATATATAATTACATGTAATCAATGGGGAAAATAGGGTTAGGTTCTGGAGGCCAATAAAAGTGCCTAAACTTGACATAACGAGTTTATTTTCTTACTAACTAAGCACCAATGAACACTAGACTCGGGAACAACAGACTATATCAATATCAAGGAACACCAGACTCGGCACCTGACTCACCATCCTGGGAACACCAGACTCGGCAGCAGACGCCACACTGCTACCGTCATTTGACAATCCCACACCTACATAAACGAACAAACCAAAAATATTAGTTACAGTATTAAATTTTTTCCATTAAGCTTTCCATTCTCCTCACTTCACTTTTCACATCACTAACAACCCATTTACACTCGCTTCAGATTTCATAATCTACAGCAGAGTCGGCTGCTTACTCGTCACTCACTCAGAAAGACTGTGTGGGTGACCGGGATGAGCGTGAATGCGTGAGTGAGCAGCCACGGTGGTGCCTCTGGTGAGCAAATAACGCATTTGTTTACCATGGCGTTAAATTTTAAATATTTCCTGCCCGAAATAAATAAATTTATCGCAATATATTGGAAAATGTTGATAATTTTGGTAGTTTTTTATTAATTAAAAATCTTTATAAAAAATCGCTATATATCCCAACCCTACTGTACTTCTAACCGTGATGTGATAAAACGCTGATACAGTAATCTTTCCGTTAGCCAGACTCCTCAGTCCCTGGAACTCTCCAATACAGGTGCTCCTCTACTTAAGAACGTTCACCTTACAAACTTTCAGAGATACAAACATCATCACTGGGGGGGTTACTTGCCAGAACAGGTGTTTAATGTGGATGAGACTGGATTATTTTGAAGAAAATTCCAGATAGAACAAACATTACCTAAGAGGAGAAGAGTGAGACAGGTTTTATGGCTGTATTAAAGGGTGTAGCTGTACTAAATATCCATAATCTTTTCATTTTTTACAATATGTTTGGTATCTACAAGAGTAAAGTTGGACTTACAAACAATTGGACTTATAAACAAGCCTCAGGAACGTAACTTGGACTTACAAACAATTGGACTTACAAAACAAGCCTCAGGAACGTAACTTGTTCGTAAGTAGTGGAGCACCTGTCAGAATTTTTTTTCTTTTAGCATTCTAAGAACTTCCAGGAAAAATCTCTCCATTCCAGGCATGGGATTGAATTCCGAGGATTGCATCATACACATTTCCGGAAAATCCCAAGAATACTCTCTCCTCCGGGCATAGGAATGAATTTCCGAGAAATTGCATCATGTTCCCGATGCAGGAAGGCATGCCAGGTGCATGGGTGGGTAGGCTCAGAGTGCTCTTGAACTACAATTGACCACTACTTTGATGTGACAGCATGGGATGCCTATGATTGGATGATGTATCTTGCAGTTTATCTCCTCAAACTCTAGCAACATGACACTTTTAGTTCATTGTCTGCTGCCATTGTACAAGCTTGTCTGCTCGCTCACTACTGTTTTGCATACGATCTGTGTTGTGAAGTACAGTACTGTATTATACATTACTGTACCAGCATATAGTCAGCCAAGAATACCGTTAAAGCAGTATTAATATGTAAAAAAGTGATTACAGTTGCACATACTGTACTGTACACTAAGTAAGTGTGAAAGTACTATACAGGTATATACCATACACTACTGTACATAGCAGAGTGGACAGTATATGACTAATGAAAGCAAGTGTGTAGAGGGTATATGTACAGTATAGTATACAGTGCATGTACAATCCCTTCTGTAGGAGATGGTACAGGATAAAGGCAAAGGGTTGAGTTTTAAGGCAGGTGTAACAGCCACCAGCATCCTGGAAGCAAAAAAAAAAAAATTATATTAAATATTTTATGTTTTCATTTTCACTACTGCACTCATTGTCATCACTTCTGTTTTAGTTTTTAGACATTTTAAGGGCAGCACACCTGGTTAGCATCCACAATGCTTCCCAAATGACAAAAAAGATCTCTGGACAGAACAAGTGCACAGGTGATACTGGTCTAAGCCCAGAAAACAAACACCGCCTCCCACTGACTTCACTCGAAGTATAGAAAAAGTGTTTACAAGTGCAATAGGTTGCCACTAGACCAGCTAGCTGCTCAACCAATGACAAAACAAGACCCACCCCCACTCTACAAATGATAATGAGAGCTGGTTCATTGGTAATATTTCTCGCCAAATCAAATAGAAGTTCATTCATTAAATTTTCATACCATAAAACACTAAACTCGCTTAGCCAAATTCTCATTTATCATTAACTCGTTCACCTTGACCTTATTATGTTCTAAATACCTCCTGCTTTCTCCTTCTGTATTTTCACTTTTTATTTCCTCCAAGTTTAGGTAGCTGCTGCCTTTATTGACAGCAAGAGGACCTTCCCTCTGAGTGAAAGAAAGAATGTATGCAGCTGGTGTGAGAAGTGTGGTGATGTTTGGCAGTGAAACATAGGCAGTTAAAGAGGCTGACATAATTAGACTTGGGTGAGCTGAAATGAGAATGGTGAGGTGGATGTGCAATGTGACACTGAAAGACAGGAGGCCCTGTGCAGAGCTAAGAGTGTAGGGGAGGGGATTATTTATTTTACTTTTATTTATGTTTTTATTTATCTATTCTATTTTCTGTTTGGTTTTCTACTTCACCTTCTCTTATTTTTCAGTTTATTACATTATTTATTTCTTCTGTTATCCATTTCTTAGTTATTTTATACTTGTACAGATAACGTTTAACCTCTTACACATGTGGTAGCATGGCGAGGTCCAGGGCACGTGGATTCAGCTGTATTTAATGGTATCAAGATATGGGGAAGAACAAAGGTGATATTGCAGGATAATGATACCCCAACATACAATAAAGATGGTTTATTTAAAATGAGTTGAGTACCTGACACTTTACCAGAAAATAAATGCATAAACCACTCCTTGGGATTCACTCAAGACTTGACCAAATTTACATTAACTTCGATATGAATTTCACAGACCACTTTGCATTACTTCAACACCAGCCAAACAACTATTCAACATTAACAGGACCAATGTTCAATAGAAATTACTATAGATTACTGGTAACATTCTATGACAGTGACACACAACAAAGATTAGTTATCAGTCCTTCAATTACATTACTACTTACACTAACACTTCATATCACTTCTCAAACACCCATCACAAGACTGTTATTAGTGTACAGTAATTATTATTACTCTCAATACCGGGGATACAGGACACTGGCACACACAGTCGGTGATACAACCTTACCTCTTGTCAATATTATACCTGTTGATACACCTACATCACAGGATACAACATTATTCATTTACTTGATGGAAATAAGATAATTGAAACAATTACGGATTACGGATAGGATGTTACCACAGGCTTACATTACCTATTCGTTTTCCAACAATGCCGGGCTCTACTGTGTCCAGGGTTCAACCCATGTCGCGTGGACACAGTTGCGCCAATAAACTTATGACTCGTCGGCGCCATCACTGAAGATCTTAATCCTGGTGAATTAAAGACATCCTGCTTCAGACATCCTATTGGTCACTAGCCACCACCTCCTGGCATCTCCAGCAACCCACACAGTGCCTGAGTGATGAGGGCAGCTGGGTAATGAGAGTGTTGACAAAGTCCTGTGTAGAGGCAGGTTGAGATGGTTTGGACTTATGGAGAGAATGGTTGAGATCACTTGGGTCAAGAGGTGCATGAGTTTAAATGTGGAGAGGAGGAGAGCCAGGGGTAGACCAAGAACGACATGGGGAGAGGATGTAAGGAAGGACATGAGAGATAAGAACCTGAGAAGAGAGTTTTGTATCAGTCAGATAACCATGAATAACTCACACAAGCATGGAAAATAGCCATAAAATAAAGATGATGAATCATGAGGGGCCACTGCTTGTGGATGCACCAAACTCAGTGGTGTTCCTGGAGACCGAGAGGCTGTCCTTGCTCACTGGTTGACAAGGGTTCATTCCCCACCCCAAGGAATGGGGAGATGTGTCATTATACTACACTACTTCCCTGCCAAAGTCATTACCTCAACATCTTTATAAACTGAAAGCTCAATATTAATGTACATGAAGATGTACTAATAAAGATCTACACACTCTACTTCAAAAATAAAAACTAGCTATATCCAAGAGAAAAGACAAGAAGCTAAATTAAAAACTAAATTACCAAGGTTTTCTATATCTAGATAGTGCCTTCCTTACATCTAAATCCCACTGAACATAGTAACTTAGTGTAAATTACAAGTACCTAGTACAGAAATTCCTCTTGGAGAGTCTTCTAAAGATGGTACTTTAACCCGAGTGTAAAGAGAAATGTATCTAAAATTTACGTCATCCATTATTTTACACCTAGTACAGTAGTGTAGTGTAATCTGCTTACTTCTTCTGTAATTATTTCATCCATGCAGGAGATGTGCTCAACGAAGGAGACTTACTGGCAGAGATTGAAACTGACAAGGCAACTATGGGGATGGAGACACCGGAGGAGGGCTACTTGGCCAAGATTGTGGTTCCAGCAGGAGAGAAGGACATCCCCCTAGGAAAGGTGGGTTACTCTTTTTGTCATTCTCTGCCTCTGCCTTGGAAAATATAGAAATATAATGGGTCTGTGTGTGTCTTTGCCTTGCTTTAGAAATGCAATAACTGATTGATCAGGTACTTGTGGATTTTAGCCAAAGTTGGTTCGAGTACTCCTCTACATGTACAGTAGCTAAAACAACTATCTGTTTTTGTGGGGGTCGATATGCTCCGTCAAAATCACATGGAATTTTCTTCATTGGCATGTGATTTTCAAAAAAATTGTAGACTTAAGCCAAAGTGAAAAATAAACTTATCATACTGAAGGGCACCATGGATTCTCTAATCCATGTAAATTTCAAAACAGTGGAGCAAATAATAATGAAGGAGAAGCACCTTGAAAATTTTGAAAGGGGTGAAAAGGGCCAAAAATGGAGGGGGCAGAGGAGGGAGTTTGGGGGCTAGAATTGACCTACATGTTGTCCGTAACTAGTGACAGGAATATCAAAGCATTCAGCCAATATTTAAGGCCCCTTGTATCTCAACCAGACGCTCCCCTTAAGTATTGTATTGTATTGTATTTTTCTTTCATTACAGTACAAGTATATTAATTTTGTATCCTGTGTTTATATTGTCAACTATTGCTATTGAGATCAAGAAATACACTAATACTGTAACAAACAAATTAAAAAAAAATCAGTTGGGTGGAAAGTGGAGGCTATAAGGGGAGGAAGCCTCAAATCCTGACATTATTACTGTGGTAACATTAGTTTTACTAAACCAGTAAGTCTTTACACTCATTGGTCTGGCCTCAAGGATTTAGTTTTATTCAGTTTTGGTTATTTGCTTTATTACACGATAGTCATAACATTTTATTGTGAATTTTATGTTACCGATGGTCGGTAGTGTTCCATTGTGTAACTTCTGTTGAAAACGGAAAACCTTACCATGGGTGAGGCCAAAATCCCCGATGATTAGTCAAAGAATGTGGGTGAATACATGCTCCAGTGTGAGAGCACCAGTTCCTGCCTCAGATTCATACAAAACATAAATTCAAACTTATATTGTCTCCTTTAAATAGTCAGGGAATTTATTTTTAAATATGCTTCAACCCAGAACATGTGGTTTTTTGCATGATTTGAAGTGATTGAGGTGTTTGGGGAATCTTGGTTTTCTTATTTCATGGTACTGTAACTGCATACAGTGACCCTCGTTTAACGAACACCTCGGTTAACGAAATTTCGGTTAACGAACTGCCTTCCATAAGGATCTTCAATTCGGTTAACGAACAAAAATTCGGTTAACGAATTTCTTACGAACCGACCTCAACATGTTTTCGCTTGCACTGACTGGGCAACCAGCTTTAGTATCAGTCCGCCAATACATTAATCGGTTCTAGGGCTTAAATTCCTTATTATTTTAGTAAATATCAAGAAGTTTATACTATTCAATAATTTTAAAAGTTTAATATTCAATTTTTTAGTCATTTTAACAATTATTGAACATAATTGAAGGTAAAGTGACTAGTTTAATGCGCGGCATCCAGCCTCTTAACACAGCAAACAGGCGTTAGTCTCTCTCTGTTTTCACTGGAGGTAACATCTTGCTTGAGACTCTCTTCAACTAAACGCTTTTTTCCGTGTTTCCAAGCAAATTATTGGTCATTTTGAAATATATTTTACATATTGACAATATATAATGCAGTGCAGTGTTGATTTAAAGAAAATAATCTTGAATTACACCAAGAGAGCTAAAATTTTATGGGTGAAATGGCACCATGGGGTGACTTCTCTTCCACCCCAATGCCTTCTCCTCCACCCCCATTCTAAATCCCATCATCATCATCATCAGGAGCCTTCTACATACACACCTCAAAGTAAGTGAACTTTTCTACCATTTTTGTTGAATTTAGGAAATTTTCGGTGAGCTGGAACCAATTACCCAAAACCCATTGAAACAATGGTTTCGGTTAACGAACTTTTCGGTTAACGAACGACCTTCTGGAACGGATTGAGTTCGTTAACCGAGGGTCACTGTACTTTCATCATGCCTGAATATCTTCCCAAAATCATGTGACCTTTAATGACACAAAACTTTTGCATGGCGGTAACCCAGTCTTGGAACAAACTTCAGCAACGTGTGACAATCTGTCCTGGAGTAAGTGCTAAAGTGCTTATTTGAAAATGTAAGATTCTTGGGTGTTGAACGGTCAGTAAAGAACAATTACAGAATGCAGATCATTAAAATGCCTGCTGTCACACCACTTGCCAAGTTATATTTGCCTAACTCCTCCCACCACTACCACCACAAGAAATTGCAGAAGTTGAGAGCTAAAGATGGCAGCAGCCTGGTACAATGATGCTATGACAGATCTTACACTCTAAATATCCTCTTTTTCCAATATTGTATATGCCTGCCTAATTTACCTAATGCACACAACACCTAGTGGCAACCATTTCTAACTACACCTGTACAAGAAAATGGTTATCTTGATGATGTATTTAGGCTATTTTGAGTACTCCTAGTCATACAGTGCCTGCACCTGTTAAGTGCAGGTTATTCTTATTTATCATGAACTCGCATATCGGTTTCAGTTTATTGTGATTAAATTATGACCGAAATATAGTACAATATATTCTTATTGTAAAAGGTTTCTTTTTTCACAGTACTGTACATTAATAAGAAGAATATCAAACACTGCACAAATCCGTGAGAACTTTTTAGATGTTCAGAAATACATGCAGCTAGAATTGTTTATCTGTGTACACAATTATTTCTTCAGAAATTTCCCCAGATTGTGCATAATTAGTGCTAAACGACCTGCCAATGTTTCACCAAACACACCTTGTATCAAGAAACAGTGAAAGGGTTAAAAGTTAACAAACAGACATACGTGAGAAGATATATGTACCCCTCTTTTGTGGGGGGATGTCTTGTTCTGATTTTTACCCAACTCTTAATACCAATCATGACAAACCTTATACTGAATAAACATCAACCTGCCACACTAAAACTACCCACACACCACACAGATGAATGCCACAAGAAATTGCATGCAATCAGCAGAAAGGAACCCAATGTAGTAGGATTCAGAGCTGGGAGTCTGAGCTGAGGTATGATGCATGGAAGAACATGTTTTGTTTCTTTTAGGAACATATCTCAGCCATTATAATGGGAGTCTATGGAAAAATGGGATCTGATATATGAAAGACCAATGTATGAAAGGTTTTTCAGGAATGGAACCCTTTCATAAATCGGAAAATGCCTGTATACAGTGTATGCATATTACTTTAAAATCAGATCCTAAGGTAGTTCCTTCTCTATGTTGACAGCTTTTGTGCATTATTGTGAGTGATGAGAAGGATGTTGCTGCTTTCAAGGATTACCAACCTACAGAAGAGGCTGCACCTGCCACAGTCCCTGCTGCTGCACCACCACCACCACCACCTCCCCCTGCTCCTGCCCCTGCTGCACCTGCTCCACCCATACCAACTCCATTCCCTGCCCCAGCTGCTGCAGCCCCCACAGCTGCTCCTGGTAGCTTTGTCTTTGCCTCACCCTATGCCAAGAAATTATCCAACGAACAAAACATTGATCTCTCGGTAAGAAACGTATCATATGAATAGTATGTCTTACATCTGTGTTACTTGAAATACAGTATTTGTGAAGTAATAATATTTTTGGTTACTGTTCAGGTACAGTATATTGTTTGACTTAAGGACAAATAATTCATTAGCTGGAATAACTTTAATAGAGGAGGGATTATTTTTGTATATCTACGAGCACTTCATAATTCACATGTTTATAGCCCTGAATTAGTTTCATAAGTTCTTTGAGATGGACTTTGGGAAAGCTATAGGGTTTGCCCTTGATTATAACTGTACTGGGTCAGGGGTCATGTGAAGAGCCATATCTTTATAACTGGTTGAGGATATACTGTTACTGAAATTTTGTAATCGTTTTATTTTTCTCTTTATGATACTGAATATAAGTTATCAGTGCATTTCACAAGTTAATTTTTGCTTCCCCATGTGTGGAAATTATCAGAGATCAATACAGAATGCAGAAAAATTATTAACCCTTAAAATATCAGTTTCAAAGTTCAAGTGAACAGACTATAGTTTCAAAATCAGTAGTGAATCCAGACCCAAGGCTTGTGTTGCCCTTATATTCAGGCCATCTAGTTGTGGTTTCAGACAAAATTTTCTTTAGGATCAACCCTTTTATTTTTTTTAATAGACTGAATATGGTTGTTTTCTATATTTGAAATGGTGGTTAATGTTAGGACCCTTATATTTAGTGGCATCCTTCCAAGAATCCTTGTGTTTCATGATATGTGTTCACCTTCTCATATAGGCAATAGCTCAAGTTTCCGGCATTGGCCACAGTCCTGGTGATTGGCTCAGGGGCTCCGATGTTGAAAAATTTGCTTCACAGGCTGCTGCTGCACCTCAGGTACATAGTGTTTTTTACACAGTTTCATGCTTTTTCTTCTTCCCCTGGGTCAAACATTTCAGTATTGAGAGCTGATGTAGAGTTAGTTGTAAGTGAGGAGAGTGGTAAACACCAAGGGAACAAATTGGGAAATAATAGGTGAAAGATGAGTGTAGAATTCATGTGACAGGAGAAGGCCAAAACTTCAAACGAAATACTTCCCACAAAATACTTCACACACATACTCTCTTGTACAGTATCCTTAACACTCGGGGTTTTCATACTCAAAATTGCATATGATATAAATTATCACTTTAGGGTTTCCATATGCGTATAAACTCAAAATTTAAATTAAATAATTTTGTTTGTGTATGACCACTACACAGCCCAAACACACATTTGCCAATGTCAGCTCAATCTACTTGTTTCAGCAACACAGGATATAACTTTGGCCCACACATTTTTTCGTGGCTTGTGCTGATTTCTTGTTCACCACAGTGATTTCATTTATTCATAACAGCATTGTGAGAGTTTTGAACCATGCCTTGTGTTGCTGCCAAGGGTGGAGGGGTGGGAAATATAAAAAGCGCAAGGAGATTGTACCACGTGGTGATAGTGTGGTGGCTCTTGGTGCGTGCTTACATATAGAAATAATAGTTTTGTCATATTTACTCAAATAAATTGTTTGTAAATAATTTATTTACAACATTAATGTAACAAATCCCACTTGTTTATCTCAACTGTGTAGTGCAGTCAAGTGCAGCGAGGTGAGTAACAGGCCAGACCCTGAAAGTTTCGCGGGTGAGCGTTGATTTGTATACCAATTTTATTTTATCACATTAAAACATATGTACAGTTGAAGCAAGTCTCTTCATGCACCATAAATGTATATTTCAGTTTATCCCATAGGTATCACATTCTATTCAAATATTTTTGTTGGTCAGACATATACCTTTTATATGATTTAAAAGAAGATACAAATAAAAATTCATTTAAGATAAGTTTCAGTACATGTTTTTAGGATTACATCTAGCTTTTCTTTAGAGTTAAAAATGTGTTGAATAAACCAGAACTTACCTTGACATAATTGGATGTTTTAGGTTGCTGCAGCTGGTCCTACACCCATACCTGGAGCCATGTACTCAGACATGCCAATCTCCAACATTCGAAATGTTATAGCAAAGAGACTCTGCTTGTCTAAACAGGTAAGTTCAGTACAATATTTGTTTCTGGTGTTCATCAAATGTGTTGGTTATGGCATTTTTAGCTGTTCGTGAGATGTACAGTATACTGTATATGCAGCACCCCCACATGCACACACAGCACATACCTTCCCTCCCAGTAAGCGGAGGGAAGTGTCAGGAAGAGGGTTTACAAGTATACTATATTATTGCAAATTTTTTTTATTGCTTTGATTAGGTCTCTCTCTCTCTCTCTCTCACCACAGTATATATATAATCTGTACAGTGTATCTATGGTTAGCAATTAAGAAAAAATCAATACAAAACACTCCTTCCATCCTAGAAATGAAGACACCAATATGTACTGTACAGTATGTGTGCCTGGTAAACTTGCCTTGTACTAAAGCCCTGTCCCACATGTACAGCTGTATAGTATACAGTATATTCAAATAGGCATACAGTACGGTATTGATGATGATTGTATTCAATAATACTCACCTTCATAATTTTCTTTTCTCTGAACTAGAGTATCCCTCACTACTACCTTAGTATAGACGTGTGCATGGATGAGGTGTCACAGCTACGACAAGAGTTCAATAAACTACTTGAGAAGGAGGGCATCAAAATCTCCTTCAACGACTTCATTATTAAAGCTTCCGCCCTGGCTTGCAAGAAGGTGCCTGAGGCGAATTCTTCATGGTTGGACACTGTAATCAGGCAGTATGTAACTTTAATTACCAGTACAGTGCAGTTACAGGGTACTTCAGATTTTTTTTCAGTGTTTTCTTTATCTAGTCAGTATATGAAAGTGCTTTTTTTTAAGAGAAGACAGATTTATTAATTTTCTGCTAACTAAACCTAACCCAACCTGCCTTAACTAACCCAACCTAACCTGCCCTAACAAACCAAATCTGCCCTCACTAACCTAACCTACTCAAACTAACCTAACCTACCTAACTAACCCAACCCAACCTGCCTAAACTAACATAACTCAACCTGCTCAAACTAACCCATCCCAACCGGCCTGAACTAACCTAAATTAATCCAACAATCTCTAACTAAACCATCCCAACCTTCCTGAACTAACCTAAACCAATCCAACCTGCCCAAACTAACATAACCCTACTTGCCCTAACTTTTCTAACCTACCCAACTCGACCAACTCTAACCTATTACAGTACAACCTACTTCACTGTACCCTGCCTTACCCTAACCAAATATAATTTCTTTATTTTGACCTAAGATCATTGGATAAAAGGCATGGTAGTGCTGTGCCAGTGTCAAAATACCTGGGGAGAATCCTGGAGTCAATTTTTTGGTGTGTTTTATTTACAGAACAGAAGGTATTCTGTATCTCTTGAATATGGCTTTGCAAAGTTGTAGTTCATCTTTTGTCAGAGACCTTTGCAAGTTATATGAGCCAGTTTTAATCTTGACTCAGCTAAAACTGTATTAGCTATATGTTCATGGTTTGTAAGATTTACATTAAAGGTTTTTCTTTTACTTGTTCACAGCTACAATAATGTTGATGTGAGCGTAGCGGTGAGCACAGACCGAGGCCTCATCACGCCCATAGTATTTAAGGCAGAGCAGAAAGGCCTTGCCACCATAGCCACAGATGTCAAGGCTCTAGCAGGAAAAGCCAGGGAAGGAAAGCTTCAGCCACATGAGTTCCAGGTATGTGATATAACTATCTTTTTCTTTTTCAGTTTCATGGAACATAGAATACTCAGAGGAAACACTCTGGCTGGTTCTACAGAAACACTTCTCTTTGTGTAGGGAAAACTTTTGTTTGTAATCCACTTTAGTAATTTATTTTTCTCTTTCTAATGCGCTTTATTTGTATTATCCTTACTCAAAGAATGAAGGGTTATAGCAGTTGTATCGTCAGTGTGCATGTGTGAAATTTTTGTGTAAATGCTGGCAAAAGAAGGTTTTTGGAGTTGGTTGGCCTCCTATATCTTTTATAGGTTCTTTATTCTTATCGATTCCTTTTAGGTCATTTCTCTTTCTGGTTTTGTTTTATTTTATTTTCCATCATTTTAATTTTAGTTTAACCTTTTACCATTACTTATCTCCGGCGCTGTATGACTTTGGTTGTTGCAGCGCTAAGATAGTACAGTATTCATAATCATTCATTCTGACAAAAGACTGATTAAATTGTCTCCTTCTTTTATATTTATAACTGTGCAAAATATCTTTCAATAAATAATGTTAATTGAATCCAGGATCTAGATTTATTAGCATCCATATTTGAGATAACCAATATGGAGGAAGTTTTGTAGACTTGTCTGAACTTATATTCCCTGTTGACAGCATTATTGTACACCATTATATATGGTGGCAAGAAGGCTTTGTTTAGAGGAACCAATTGTGTGAATACAGGACCAATCACAATCAAGAACCATCCTGACTAATTTTTTGATGGTTTAGTAAGTTAAGAAATAATAGGTACAGTTACAGACTGAAATTAAAGCATGGGGATGAACAAAACATACAAACTACTAATTGCTGTATCATGTAGTTACTTCACACTCCTCGGTAATTTCTATATATTGACTCGAATACTGTACCAGTAAAGCTCTCGTAATAAATTTAATAAGAAATAAGACCACAGAGCTATATACTGTACTGTACAGTATGTATTGCAAATTTTATATTACTGTTAAGTTTTGCATAGTCAGAGGAATGGTAATAAGTGATATATTCCATGAGGTGAAAAATTGGAACGGAGCACTTCCGGGGATGAGAGATTTCCGGGTAACGTGACAACTCTCTCAGTCTTGGAAAAAATCCCCCATTCTCGGAATTTTTTCTGAGCGAAGGGAAAAGTTTCTCGGAATTTTGGGAAATCATACATCATTTCATCCTCGAAATTTGCTCCAAGCCCCGAAAGAAAAGTTGATGAGTTACCATAATTTTCTTGGAATTTTACAGAACAATGCATTGTTTCCTCCTTGGAATTTGTTCCCAGACCCATGAAAAATTTTTGGAGAGAGTTTCTGGAATTTTTCTCAGAATTTTAATAAAATACGCCTGATTTTCATCCTCGGAATTTGTTCCCAGGCCCAGAAAAATATTTTGAGAGGGTTTCCGGAATTTTTCTCGGAATTTTCCAGAAAATTTTGAACAAATTTCAATTCCGGCTAAGAGGGATTCTGGCGAACGGAGATGTTACTTGTACAGTACTGTACTCTCTATTAGATAGGGGCTAATACAAATACATACGGTACTCAATTAAAACACACGAGACGGGACACAATTGTTGTTGTCAGAGTTTACATGCATGACGACAGTTTTCCATCCGAAACTGAAGGAGATAGGACCCTTGCTGTAGCTGTAGTAAAATTAATGTAAAGAAAGGAAAGAACATGTATGTTTTTATTATTGTTATTTAATATAAATGGAACAATAGAAGTAACCACTAGTTGTAAAGAAAAAAGTGAGACACAATGGATAGCCGACATTAATACGAACTCACACATGCAAACATAACATCATTTCTCTTCATAAGAATATGAAAGCAACATTTATTATTGTTTATTACTGTACATATATATTTTGATTAATGTGTATAGTATATGTAAAACGAAAATTCTACTCACCAATGGTGAGTTTAATCTCAAACTTCTCTCTCTCATCTTTATTCCATTTTCTTGGAATTTTTTAAGCATCCATCATGCTTTTCTGTTCATCCATCTCTTCTGCTTTCAGTCTTGATTTATCCATATGAAAGAGATGGAACAAGTACTCCTTCACACAGTCTCTTTCCTCACTATAGTCAGACTCTTCCTATTCACTTACGTTTTCAGGGTCTCGTATTTTTTCTTTCTTGTGATACTCATTTTCTTAGTTTCAGCATTTCCATTCCCGTCCATGTGTGTGCATGTAAATGAATAAAATAAATGAGGAAAGTTACTACAGGTATATCTACCGAAAAATAAGTTGAAAAACATATACAGTACTTTACTTAAGGGACTAAAATTTTTATCTCTTGTGCAAAATATATGATGTCTATATTTATATTAATCTCTGTCTTACAAGGATTTATATTCTGCTAACTTTAGTCTGTGCCATTTTATAAGATAAAATCTTTTAAGCCTAAAACCACCTTCAATCTTGCCGGAAGTCGGAGGGGGGGTGATTTGTTATGACAGCAGCAGGGAAGGTTTGAGAAGGTTACCGAGTGTGTATTTATCAGTCATACAGAGGGAGTTTTAAGTTTTAAGCTTATAAAATGTCAATGAATGTGACTTAATAGTTACGCATACAGGCACCTCACCAGGTATCACACAAGCTTTGAGTTTAAGTATATGTGATGTATTTCATGGAGCAAAGGGAGGCTCAGGAACATAACTCCCTTATTTTATCTATTTCTTATGGGGAAAATTGATCCACTTAACGTTGTTTCGTATAACGTCGCATTTTCTGGAACTTAACCCCGACGTTAAACGAGGACTTTTGTACCTTAGAAAACAAATTATGAAAAGAGATGTTTAATGATGAGTTGATGGTTCTGGGAAAACATATTCAATACAGTGTCACGCTGTTAGAAAAATACATTATACAATGCAGTACATTCTTATTAAATTAAAGTTGAAACCACCATGATTTAATTGTGATAATTAAAAATATTTGTGGTACTGAGGAAATGGCAACCATATTGGTGATGATGTCAGAAGCTAGAAGCAGATGGCACACATGAACTTGAGTCAAGGAGTTTACAGCTGATAGCCACTTCAGATCGCATCAGCCCGGCTCATGTGAGATGTAAATGTGCATTTTTAACATGTGAGTCGGGTGTATCGTTATGAGTGTATTATAAATATAAGGGGAGCAAAATAATTATCAGTGTTACTAATGTATATAAAGTGTACTTTTCTTACCTCATAATGGCTGCTGTAGTGGCCTTAGTAATGGTACTGAAGATATTATTGCTCCTCCTTTAAGACCTCTGGACTGGGATCATCCAGAATGTCCAATGAAGGGTCGGCAGGTGAGGAAAAGTATCGGTGGAGTGAAGGGGTCAGTCGTACATCATATCTGTTAAATTTTTAGCACTCCTGACTCGTGTCCTCAGTCCATACACTTATTGCCTTCTCCATCTTCTCCATACCTTTATCACATATCTGATGTGTAACTGTGCACTGTGTGGCGGACTATGAGCAACACTACTTATAGTTTCCTTGCCGTACATCTGTATGGAACCAACAATTGACTCGTTACTTTAAACGCAAGGCCAACCGCTGAAGCACTCGTGCCGCTATTGAGTTTATCAAACACTTCAAAAATTTTCTGTTTCAGTCATGACTTTCTTCACTCTCTTTACACCAGATGCAATACCACCAGTTAATGGCCTTTTGGGAGCCATGATAGTTATATTTAATGTTAGAATTGCTTTCAGAAGAGGCTGGCTGGAGATGTGGGAGAAATTTCAGACGAAACTGACGGGAGAGAACAACCGCAAGGGATGTAGCATGATGCCATGACGTCACATCATGGCAGTTTTTAAAATACGCACCGTACCTTTTTATGTTATTTTAATAGATAAAAAAATCTCTGAGGATTTTTCATGGATGGTTGAATTCGCGAGAGTTAAACTCGCATATGTTGAGGTGCTGGTGCACTAGATAACTAATTTATTTATACCTACATTAAAGACATGACAGTGTCAAGACGAATATTTTTCCTGGTGTTGCTATTTCTGTACTCTTACACATCGGAACGAAGCGCCAACAATGCATTTTCCTTTCCTTTAACATTATTATTATTTTGTTTTTTTTATCAAAGGTGACTGTCAAAGCGTGCAAATCAACTGGTTGACTCTCACCCTTGGCATCACCACTAGCTGGTGACGTCACAGCCAATCACTGGGCAGTTGGCAGTCGTGTGATTTTTTAGCAAAGTTAACCCCTATTTTTTATACTTTCTGATCTATTGTACTGTATTAGAAAATATGGTTACCATATTGAAATTCAACATATATTTTACTTGAAGTGCTTTTTTATAAAAAAATGGTGACCGTCAACTTGTCCATTGCTTCACTAAGATAAGTGAGTCAAATGTTACAGTTACCATGCAGTTTGATATTACAGTCTTTTGTATACTATGCAAAGAAGAATAAGGCACTGTTGCTCAAATCTTTGCAGACGGTCTTTCAAAGCACCTAACTCTTAGAAGGCCACGATGAAAAATTTTGAAAAGTTAAATCTGCAAGTTCAAGCTAAATGCCTTTCTGGCCCTCATGTGACTACCTTTTGAAGTTGTCTTGCCTTTGGAAGTCATGGTAATTAGTCCACAGGAGTTACGAGATGCACACATGAGGGCTGAAGCAGTGCGACTGGTTTGTAAACAAAGTGGCTGGGGCTGGCGTTCATGTGTGCCAGATGGTAATCCAGACTGCCATTCAAATTTTTCTTGGTAAATCCACACTTTTTCCAAATTAAATAAACCCCTTCTGGAAATTGCTTTATCCAGAAATTCACTTAATATGGATTGGAGTTTCCCCGCAATTAGTCCGGATTAAGATGGGTTTTTTTACTGTATTCTTGTGCCCAGCCTGTTTTTGATGGAGAAGACAAAGAATTTAGAGGAAAAGTAGTATGAACAGGGTCAATACCTAGACACAAGCTCTGCTGCAAGGAACAGATAATTTGACCTTTATTTGATTCTTTGGCTGCATAAAATTGGAATAAATTATATTTAACTTTAAGGATATCACAAACAGTAGCCTTTCTGACGTTGTATTCACTGCAGATCTTCGCTCTGGGCACTCCATGTTCAATACGCTTAATTGTGCTCTCTTTACTAATAACACTTCACTTCCATTTCACTGTTTTATTACTGTTGTTATCAGCCATACTTATAAGAGAAAATGCTCACAATACCCCTCTACTATAAAAAAATATCATAAAATTACAGCCAACACCTTCCACTATTCAAAATGCCTGGGATGCTTGTAAACAAAGAGTTAATGTACAGTGTCTCTAATGGCAGATGCCATCATTAATGAATTCGGGTGCGATAAGATTGTTGGAGTAGACGCTCAAGTGTTTTTGGGTGCATTTGAATAAATGGAATAAATTATAATCTTAACAACAGAACCATAGGGGGGAAAATTTTTGGATAGCTGGAATTCAGATAAAAAGACATTTACTGAGTTATTAATTAATGGATAAAGGAAAATTATCTAAGAAAGTTTTCAAGACATCTTCAAATGTACCCTTGTTAACTTATTATAAGATATGTTATCATAAGAGGAGATTTTCTGCATTATGCGATTTTTTAAGTGTATACATCTCCAGTTTTCCCCTTGTCATGTTGGTTTTTCCTACACCTGCTCTCACTTTTCTATACCTACCCTCCCCTCACCCTCCATCAAAGACATGCATGCCTGTACAAGTACAGTATCTTAAGCACAACATTTTAAGAAATTTAAAGATCACTTATTATTTTCCTTGAAAATAGTGATCTTAACGAGATGTTGACCAATAACATAAGGTCTCATTGAAGGGTTATAGTTTACTGTCTGGTGATGTTTCAGGGTGGCACATTCTCAGTCTCAAATTTGGGTATGTTTGGTGTAAAAAACTTCAGTGCAATCATAAATCCTCCTCAATCGTGTATTCTGGCTGTTGGGGGCACTGAGAAGAGGCTCATTGTTGATGAAGAGTCAGAACAAGGGTAAGAACTCAAGTCTGTATTTATTTTTAAGTAGAATTTTTTTATAATTCCTCTGTATCTATGTGAGAAATGGAATATTATGCATATATGGGTAGTAATTGGTGCAGGAATTTTTCTAAAATCCTATACAGTATTGTAGTGGTAAAAAATTAATTCTTATCGTACATGTTGCTTTGAAATGAGGTGAATGCTTTCAGATTCCGTGCTGCCCAGATGATGTCTGTCACATTAAGTTGTGACCACCGCACAGTTGATGGTGCAGTCGGTGCTCAGTGGCTAGCATCATTCAAAAAATACCTGGAGAAACCATCTACCATGTTATTGTAGAATGTTAAATATCTGAAGGGGATAGACTAGTATTTATATTTATAAATCTCAGTAAGAAATACTGAACAGTAGTCATATATGTTGTACATAGATATATGTGGCAAGATTTTTATATATTTCCTGCAGTAGAACCAGTAGGATGCAGTTTGAAACCTCATTACATACATTCACACTGACATTTTACCAAAATGTGTATAATTTAGGGGGTTTTGTTGCGTGGTAAATTAAAAAAAAAATAATCATTATCTGTACCAGGTAGATTGTAAACATACTGAAAATTTATTGTAAATATATTTGTTGATTCCTGGATATGTACTCAAAATAGTTAACATATTATTGTAGACCCTACTCTTTTTTTTGGGGTAAGGTGTCAATATTTTGTGAAAATAAAAGGAAACATAAAATGTTATGGTACTTCTATTTTTCCCATTATCCACTCATATGATGTGAGCATTGTTGGATCTATTCAGATTTATATGTGTAACTTATATCTTAGAAATGAACTTATAAAAAAAACCATCAGAAAGTCCCACAGGTATAGTACAGTCGTACAGTAGTCATATGTAGCCATTAAGTGTTTTGTTAAAATTACAAGAAACTCTTCATGTGCAGTGAACTTGCTGAAACAGATGTATATAGAAGCAATTTGCCATAAATTTTTAATTAAAGTTGTATGATGGTATTAACTAACAAACTAAGCACTGTACATCATACTGTATAGTTTATAGGCAAAGTGTGTCTAGAGACTAGCAGTTGTACAACTTAGTGTGAGAGTTAATATTGATTACAGGGTATTCACATAGAGTTCTCGCATGTTGTTTCATCTCTGTCACTGTGTGGCCAATTTGTATCATTAACATATTATTTCTTCAGTCATTTTACAATTCTCAAGGACTTGCCTACCTACCTGTATTGAATATTTAAGTGAAAGTACTTGGCAAAGTAAGGTAATGTTGAATGAACCACTTGAAGCACAGTACTGTATATGAAATAGAGGTTTTTAAAATTTACATAACTAGATCTAAATCTATCTTGCCATGTTCCTATTGTTTGTTGGGGAGTTGGTTTCATTTACACTCAGTGTGAGTATCTGTGGCTTGGATGCTGTGCTTGACATAATTATTGGTAATACATTTATCTCGGTGGATAATAGAACATTGCAGACTGAAACTTTCTGCAGAATAATGAGGCTTTATTTATTGCTTTCATCAAACTGAAAACAAAAGTTAAGTAATTCTTTTATTAACAAATAATAGCTTGTTCTTTCTTGGTGATGAAATACAGGGCTCAGAATTTCAAAGGTACCAAAATATAATAATTTTCTTTTCTGAACTAAGGGTACAAGGCAGTACTAGATATGTTATAGTCTTGAGGGAATTTCAGTGCCATTGATATGAATTCTCTCTCATAATCAGGGAATGATCAGTTTGCTTCTCTTTAAAAATCCAGACCCAGTATATCTATTCTATGTGGCCTCACTCCTATTTGATAAATTCTCTTTTTCTGTAGAATAATGTGTCTAGTCTAGCTTCAGCTGTTGGAAACATCAGGGAGTCTGGAAAGAAAAATGTAAAATATTGTATATTATGATGTTTATTGCACACAAATAAAATTTTGTGTCACATTGTTATTTAATTTCCTTAAAGTCAGTATTGTGGCAGCTGAGTGGATACAGCTCTTGCTTGCTCCCTGTCACAAGGGTTACCGTTTCACACCCGGGGCATTCCTGGTCAACCCAGCTGTGATCAAATGACTGACTAGTTGGAGAAGTCGTGGTGGGGCAAGTGCAGTGAGGGCCATATTGCTTCCTTGAGTAGCAATGATTAATACTGTAATACTTCCTTTTTCTCTCTTTTCTTTCTTGGAGAATGAAGAAAAGTGAAAGGCTCTGGAGAGAAAAAGGTAGTGAAAATAGTGTCTTAGTAGATGCTTCGTTTCTTTTGAACTGGTATAATATATTTGGTAAGAGCATACAAAATTTTGGGTGTTTCCTAACAAGACAATTAAAAGTCACAAAATTAACAAGAATTGAAAAACAAAAATTGAAATAGGGCCACAATCAGTGTGTTAGATACTGGCAATCATTGTGTCAGAGTATGGGAATTGTATGGTGATGCACAATAAAACAGCTGTTCACCTCCTGCTAACAAACTTATTGTATGTGATAAATTTACCTCTCGTGTTATTTAATGTTGTCTCTTTACTGTTTGTCTTTATATGATGATGCATATATATACAGAAATAAGCTGGATGAAAAGTTTTATAAAAGGTACACTTGTCAGTATTCTATACTTTTCCCTCAAGTAATTTTTCATTGCTTTATTAACCCTTTGTAGGGCAGGGGTTTCTCTCAGCTGAATAAAACCGTCTAGCATTAATGATTGTTCTTGCATATCTTCACATTATTATTATGTAACATTAAAGTAGGTAGTACTGCAATCATGTTAAACTATGCATACAAGAGTACAGTATACAATGGTAAGAGTCTGAGTGTTTCAGGAGGGACAAATTTTGATCAACTGGCTTTTTTTTTCACGAAGTTCACCACTATACTGTTCGTCCTATAACAATAATACCCGGTAGTAAAGAATAGATACAGTTCATTGAAAATGACGAACATTGTACAGGTACAGTAAAGTGTAAATGGAGCTCTGTGCATCCTGGGTAGCCATCTTGACTGTGACAGCAAAAGGTTTGCATTCTTTTAAGAAAAGGTGTGTCAAAATGGGATTATTATTTGTAAAACCGAAAGTTTGTATAAAAATGTGAATGTTATTTGTTTAAGCAAATGTTTGTTTTTATATAAGGAAAGGCGTCAAAATGTGACTTAAATTAAAAAAAGTTTTTGAATTATTTGGCATATGTATACTACTGTATTTGGGGATACAGGTAGTTCTGCTCGATAATTGTGTTCTTGTAAAATATCGTGTATAGAAAATCGCGTAATAGAAATAACAGGGCTGATGGAGAAAATAGGGTTAGGTGCAGATTACTCGAAATCGAAAAAATTTAGTAGTTAGCCTAACACAAAGGATAGCACAGTCTAAATAAATGTTACATTCATATCTAATAATGAAATCATACAGTAAATGTAACACTTTACTTGATGGGGGAGAAGGGTGATTTTGAGGTTGATAAAATCGAGCTTCTCTTCAAGTGTTATATCCTTTCTTTTACGATCATCACCGGGAATTCTATCACCAGAACGCTTCTTGTTGATATTCTTCTTTACTATATTCACATTATTTAATTTTTTTTTTTTCTAATTTATTGTTTTTTTATTACAAATATTAATGATATTCTTTATTTCAGGGGTTTAGATGCATATTTATGCACTTTTTTACAATTTTTACAATTTTATATTATATTTTTCAGTGTTAAGTGGTTGTATTTGGGGGCCTGGAACGGATTAATCCTATAACGAACGAATGCTATAACGAACAAGGTTCTAGAACCAATTAGATTCGTTATAGCATACCCCACTGTACCACAAAATTGGAGAAATAGTAAGCAAAAATCGCGTTATAGCAAACAAGCGTTCGCGTTATACAAATATCGTTCCTAATTCATAAATCGCGTTAGAGCAAATTCGCGTTATCAAAACACGCGTTATAGCAGAACTCACTGTATATGTACTGTATTGATAGTACTATAGGTAAATAATTCGGGTTTATTCATTATTTAACATTATGAAGCTTATTTTATATACAGTGATCCCTCGGTTAGTGAAATTTCGGTTAACAAATTACCTTCCATAAGAATCTTCAATTTGGTTAACGAAAAAAATTCGGTTAACGAACTACACATTATTTTATCCTTGGAATTTTCTCCCAGACCTGGAAAAAGTATGGAGAATTTCTGGAATTTTTCCAGAAAATGCACATACCGTAATTGGTTCCAGCTCACCGAAAATTACATACAAAGTAAAAATAAATGCAGTAAAGTACACTTACTTTGAGGTGTGTATGTACTGTAAAAACGTAAAAATACTCTGTGTTCAAGAGACCCACAAGCAAGATGTTTCCTCCACTGAACAGAGATACAAACTGAGGCCTTGGTGGGTGAGTGAAGTAGCTGATGGGCGCACCAAAAACTACCGTTCCCTGTACTGCAATTATGTTAAATAAGTGTTGAAATGACTAAAAATTGTAATATAAAACTTGGAAAATTATTGAATAATACAACCTTCTTGATATTTACTCCAATTTTAACAAATGTAAGCCCTAGAACCGATTTCTGTATTGGCGGACTAATCTTCCAGCTGGTGAGCAAGCCAAGGCATGTCGAAACATTTTCGTAAGAATTTCGTTATCCGAATTTTTGTTCGGTAACCGAAACGAAGATTCATGTGGGTAATGTCACTGTTCACTGCCATGCAGGACAGGTTCGTACACAAAGAAATACATCATATTCATAGACAGTATATATATATATAGGTCAGATTCATGTGGGTGATGTCACTGTTCACTGCCATGCAAGACAGTGGTTCATATACATTGAATGTCATATTCTAATTGAAGATTAATCAGTATGGGCTAGCAAATTTGGGATAAACAGCAAGAATGTCCTCAAGCACCCCTGATTCAATATAGTAATTACAAAGTTCATGATACAATAAGCCAGGTGGCCTGAAGTCTTTGACAGTGTCAAATTCAATAGTATAGTATTAAGTGTATGCTTTAAAGGTTTATCACAAAGTTTACATGCTGAGTGTTCTGTTATGGGTACAGCATTACTAACTTGCCAGATGTGTCTGTATCCTAACTTAATTCTGGACACGACTGCATTACATTGCCTGGTTCTGTCCTTATGCTGGCCATACCGGCACCTCTCGTCACAAAATTTGTCATACAGTATTTACTAATGCTACAACTGCCAGGTCCCTGCATTTCTCAGTTCTTCTAGATCAGAGTTCATGATTCTGACTTGAATGTTTTTAAGTAGAGCATTGGACAGGCCAAGGTCACTGTCTACATTTTCTTTCTTACATGCCTCATTGGCCAGTCTATCAGCACGGTCATGATACCTAATTCCAACATGGGACGGAATCCACACAAATTTGATACGAGAGTTGTTCTTATTGGCAGTTATCACATTTCTTTTAATATAGATACAGAGTTTATTTAAGAGGCCAGTCTAAAACTGCTAACTGAACCAGCTGCCATCTGGATATTAGTGGAAGTGGATCAGGTGTTGTAACTAGTGAACTTCCACAACATCCCAGTGGGGTGAGGAGTGAACTAGTAAGACTTATAGTAAAGTTGCTCTTTACTTATAAGCTTTGTAAACCACAGTTGGTCAAGTGTATAAAAACTGTATAATGGGAATTAGATTGACAATTTTCTTAAACTCTTGTCTATAAAATCATCTGGCATTAGTCAACCGAAATAATAAAATAAAGTAGTATCGCCATAGTGAAAGGATTAGACTATTTTTGGTTGAATCAAATTGCTGTTTGTATACCTACACTTATGTAGAGTACTGTAAATACTAAACCAATATGAAGTTTTATGGTGAATTTACCGACTATCTATCTACCTATAACATCAGTACATCAGCTTTCCCACTTGACAACTTAAGGTCTGTTTGGATGGTCATTCACTTCTGAGACACTCATTATCTTCTCTGGGTTTCACTGTGCCACTGAAACGTTTTTTATAATACGTGTACAGTAAAGTTGAGTCTGGATTTACACGGTTTTTGTTTACGCATTTGGTCATTTACGCGGTGCCATGCCAGAATTGAAATGCTTTAATTACTGTACAGGTATTAGTGTAGGAATTTTATTTTCAGTGATACATTTAGGTGTCAAACTGGCTGGGCATGTGTCCCATTGAACCCCATGTTATAATGATCCCGATTTATAATATTTTGACTTGTGATAGGTTTTTTAGGAACGTAATCCCATCATAAATAGGGGGATACCTGTACTGTATTGCCACAGCTTCAACAAAGATAATAGTTATTACAGTATATAGTACAGTATATGTAAGAATATGTTTCACAAATATTATGTGCATACCCTGCTGTACACTAAGAATTTCTAAAAGATTTGGTAACTCTCACTGTTTCTGATAACTGTTTGAGCTCAGACTCATCCTTACACATACTAAAGCTATGGTAAAATATTTTGGGTTTCCTGTGAACGTAGACACTTGGGTGTTTCTGCTTCTGGACTTGAGCTTTGGCTCTTCAGTATCCTCTTCTCTAGTTCAAAGGACTCTTCAACTTCAGGGTCACAGCCAGAATACATGTTCTGCGCATTGTTGTAAACGTACCCCAGTTCTGGTTCCGGGTTGTCATATGTTCCACCTATGAAGAATTCCTCTTTGTTAATTTCATGTTTGGATTCTGGCATCTGCCGTCGTGCAATACAGATGGTGACCACAATTAATATTATAACTACAGTAACAACTGCCCCAGCACCTATGAAGTATGGGAGGGTGTTCTTAGGATGCTTATTGTAGTGGGAAGAATTATTGGATGGAAGATAAATTGTTTGTGTGGCCTCTGAGGTGATTTCTATCAGGTTCACAATCCCTGTTGTTTTCACACCGGCAGTTATCAATGGTTCACTTATTATTTCCATGGAAGGGTTTCCTGATGCTTGTGTCAACGTTTCTGTTATAGTTTCTTTTTGTTGTGTGGTCAATATATCTGTTACTTCTGAGGTCTGTGTTGTGATGTCTGTTAGTTTCACTGTTGATGGTTTATTAGTTGTTTTTACTTTTAAATCAGGGCTTTTTTTAGCCTTTGTTAAGGTTTCTGTTGTAGTTTCAAATTTTATTGGAATTTTTGTTGGGTATCCCATTGTAGTTTCAAAGTTTCTTGGGGTCTTTGTTGAGGTTACTGCTGTAGTTTCAAAGTTTCTTGGGGTCTTTGTTGAGGTTACTGCTGTAGTTTCAAAGTTTCTTGGGGCTTTTGTTGGGTATTCCATTGAAGTTTCATAGTTTCTTGGAGCTTTTGTTGGGTATTCCATTTTAGTTTTAGAGTTCCTCGGAGCCTTTATTAAGGATTCCATTGTAGTTTTAAAGCTTTTTGGAGCCTTTGTTAAGGACCCTGTTATAAAATCTGTTTGGCTCATTGTTTCTGCAACTGTTGTAACCATCACTCTGGTAGTTGAGTATGGGGTGGCAGTTGGGCTGTTCATCACTTGAGTGCTGTTGTCCAGAGGAGGCTGGTTAGCCACTGGTGCCTCAGAGTATGCTAATCCACTGGGAGGCACAGGCCAAGTGTCTGGGTGGGTGGACATCTCCTTCTCAGCACTCTCCCTATCTGTAAGACATGGCATTGTTATTCATTGTCACTCAGTGATTCTCAGGTTATGCTATAGTGCCATTTTGGAAACCATAACCCAGGAGACACAAGTTTGATCCCATTGTCAGACAGGGGTTGTAGAGGAATTACATTCTACAGTTTACATTAAACTCATTCTGAGAATCGGGATTTAGATGCAGATGTCAATTATGGGTACAGTGTATGTTATTTCCAGGAATTTGGTGAATAAACAAACAGCCTAATCTAACTTAGCTGACATCGCTCAACCATCTTGCCTTTAATGATCATGTACAGTCGACAACAGAAGTTTGTCCTGAACCAAACTTCATTATATATGGCAGGTGACAGATATGCTTTAAATGTTTTGTTCTTTAAGATTTGTGATTGGAGATTGCCTAAGATTACATTTCTTATTACAAGTATAACTTAATTACTATCAATGTGTAAAATGTGGGAAAATAATGTGATTGAGAAATACTGTACTTAGTATGATATACCAGTACAGTATTTCTCAATAACATTATGTCATTGTTTTATGATGAATGTGTTATTTAGCATGAAAAATACTCGATGGCAGCAGCAATATGTCTTGTTCCCCATTTATGAATCATCCTGCATCAATGTCATCTATTTCTCAATAACTTGACCTCACACAACCTAGTTTATCTTTGGCTAACTTTACCTAGTCTAGCTCAGTCTAATGTAATGTAACCTGGATTACCTGTCTAAACTTAACCTATCTTAGTATCCTTTAGTATAACCTAACCTAACTTAACCTGCATTACCTTTGTCTAAACTTAAACCTAATCAAACCAAATGGAACCCATTTTCTCTTAATCTAGCCTAACCAAACCTTACTTGACCTAATTTATCTTAGTGTAACTCTCCCTAACCAAACCTAACCTAACCAAATCTAACCTGCCCATGCCTAACTTACCCATACCTTACTCTAATCAGACCTAAGTGGGTGTACTTTAAGGCTCCTGGTTTTTAGGTAATACTGTAATATTGTACAAATATTTTTATTCATCACTGGGAAGGTCTCCTTTTAAGAAGTACTGTACAGTATTTTAGTCCAACATTTGGCCCCATTTTTGCCCATTTGTTTTATAAATAATTCTTGAAGCTGATCAACCCCACAAGCTTTATCATTTTCCATTTTGCTCACAGCTGCCTAAACTTCTGTTTCCAGAATTGGCATTTCGATCTTTATTTCCTTTTTGTTTCTTACCTCTACTCTATCCTTAGCATTGTATAGCAACTACTAACTTAAGTTAATTTAGGTTAGGTTAAGTAAAATTGAAGATGGTAGTTACGCAGATTCTGACAAGGATAAAGCTGAGGCATTGAACAGCCTCTTTTCCTCGGTGTTCACAAGAGAGGATGCGATTAACCTTCCTGTGTTTGAGTACAGACGGTTCGACACAGCACTGACCCACATTGTGTTCACAGAAGAGGGTATTAGAAATAAGCTGTCAAAGCTAAAGGTCCATAAGAGTCCCGGCCCTGACATGGTGCATCCTAGAGTGCTAAGCAACGAGCTTACCGAGCCCTTGAAGAACCTCTTTTGTAAATGCCTGGATGAACAAAAGGTCCCCAGTGAATGGAAAGTGGCTTATGTGAGTCCTATCTTCAAGAAGGGCGATCGTCACTCCACGAACAACTAGGTATAGACCGGTGAGCCTGACCAGCATAATATGTAAAGTACTTGAGAGTATTATCAGAGATGCCGCGATGGAACATCAACTACGAAACAACCTTGTAAAGGATTGCCAACACAGTTTTATGCCAGGTCGCTCCTGCTTAACACAATTGCTCAAGGTATTGGATATTTGGACCCATATTCTGGAACAGGGTGGTAATATTGACAATATATACTGTACCTAGATTTTGTCAAGGCTTCAGACAGTGTACCCCACGAAAGGCTGAAAATCAAACTGGAAGGGTACGGAATTTGGGGAAATGTCCTAGCGTGGTTGGAAGACTTTCTACATGACCGCAAGCAATGTGTGGTGATTAATGGCATGAAATCATCATCCGTACCTGTCACAAGCGGGGTACCACAGGGCAGTGTATTGGGCCCACTGTTGTTTTTTGTTTCATAAATGACATGCCTGATGTTGTACCCTCCTCCATACAAATGTTTGCCGATGACGCCAAGTTAATTCGGGAAATCAAGAACCAAGTGGACTGTGAAGAGCTGTAAAAGGACCTCTGTGGGCTCCAAGAATGGTTGAAGAAATGGCTGCTGATATTCAATGTCACGAAGTGTAAGAGGATGCACCTGGGGCATACCAACAGTAAGGAGGCGTATCATATGTCCCAACGGGATGAAGAAATTGCACTAGTTGAGACTGAATGTGAGAAGGACCTAGGTGTGTATGTTGACAATGAGCTAAAGTTCTCAGGCCATTGCAAGAAGAAGGTAAATCAGGCAAATCAATTTTTGGGTCTTATAAGAAGGTCGCTCAGATTATCTAGACGGTCAGTCCCTCGTAACGATTTTCAAGAGTGAAGTGCTTCCCATCTGGAGTACTGTCACCCTGTTTGGTCCCTGAGATATGCTAGGGACTGTCAGTTGGTTGAAAATGTTCAAAAGAGGGCCACCAGACTGGTGCTTGCACTTCGGCACCTCAGCTACCCTGAGAGATTGGAGCGTCTGAACTTGCCTAGCTTATACTACAGACAGACAAGGGATGACCTAATTGAGGTGTATAAGCATCTCAAGGGGCACTACTCAGTCTAGTGTCTGTACTTGGAGCTGACAGACGCTCGCCCAACAAGGGGTCACAGCTCAAGATTGAAGAAGCCGCAAGTCCAGAAAACTGTGAGGGTAAACTTTTTAGGAGTGAGAGTTGTGAACTCTCGGAACAATCTACCAGAAAGTGTTGTGATGGCACCGAGTGTGAGCTCTTTCAAGACAAGACTAGACCAACACTGGAGCAGGTTTAGGTACATTCAGGAACCGGTGCATGCCCAGTACTTGCCAACAGTGCGTAACAGAGACGTGACCGATCGCCCAAGCGGCTAACGAGCCAATCAGTGGTAAAGAGGATAAAAGTAAAAGTACAGTGTAAATACACCGGCAGACCAACTCCAGCTCGGTAGACCGCATTCAGTACTATTGTATAGTAGCACTAACTTTGTCCAGTAAAGTTTAAACCACAATTAATTTTTCTAGTAAGATTTTCCCTGTAGGATTTTGTCCAGTACAATTTTCCCCATACTGATTTTGTCCAATACAATTTTTTGCTTTAATGATTTTGTCCAGTAAGATTTCCCCACAAGAGATTTTGTCTATTAAAATCATTCTCCAAAATGATTTTGTCCAGTAAGATTATTCCCCTAATGATTTTGACCAGTAAGATTTTTCCACATAATGATACTGTCCAGTAAGATTTTTCCCACAATGATTATATCCAGTAAAATTTTCCCCATAATTTTGTCCAGTAAAATTTTCCCCACAATGATTTTGTCCAGTAAGGCATTCCCCACAATAATTTTGTCCAATAAGATTTTCCCTATTAAGATTTTGTCCAATAAGATTTTCCCCACAATGATTTTGTCCAATAAGATTTTCCCCACAATGATTTTGTCCAGTAAGATTTTCTCCACAATAATTTTGTCCAGTAAAATTTTCCCCATAATATTGTCCAGTAAGATTTTCCCCATTATGGTTTTGTCCAGTAAGATTTTGCCCTCAATGATTTTGTCCATTGAACATACCTGAGTGGCATGATGTGTACACTTGATTGTCCAGCAGCTTAATATTAGCGTCCCTGGAGAAGTTACACACCTGTTTGTTGTCATCATCAACGTCCTTCACCTGTAGGATACTTTTGTCACGCCTTACCTAAAAGAAAACAGTGCAACTTAAGACACTGGAGGAAATATTTGAATGTCAGCGCTAAATTTAGGAAACGAGAAATATTTTATTATTCTGATTGAAAGTCATGTTATCAGTTTTATCACGAACTCGGAATTATGAGAAAATGTCCTTGCGTGGATAGGAGAATTTCTACATGACCGCAAGCAGTGTGTGGTGGTTAATGGCACGAAATCGTCGAATCCAGGAAACAAAGTCACTGGAGAAAAAGTCACAATACAAACACAGTACACAAACATATATGTATATAGGTCACCTCAACGTGACCTCACATCAAACACCTGATAAAAAAAAATTACCGGATTAAACAACCTGTGGTCAGTGACCTAACCTATATACATATATAACATTGTCCCTCTGTATATTCTGTTAGTATTCAGTGAAAAATAATTTTTACGCAACAATGGGTACATGTACCAAACATGTCACTCACAAAACCAAGTTGCGGTGGAAGTGTGTTGAAAGATCCAGTAGTCACTATCGAGGCAGTATGAAATCCAGATAGGCCAGCCTCGCAACCATACGTAATGCCATCATATATATAAATTGTGTTGTCAATTTTATGTAAAAGTCATGTATTATTAGTTAATAACTTTTAAAATATTTTTTGTTTTATTACTTTAATTGTTTATGATATTTAAATAAAATGTGACTTTTTTCCTGTGACTTTCTTCTGTGACTTTTTTTCCTGTGACTTTATTTACATTCACCAAATCATCGTCTGCAGTTCTGTACCTGTCACAAGCGGGGTACCACAGGACTGTGTATTGGGCCCGCTGTTATTTGTTTATTTCATAAATGACATGCCTGATGTTGTACACTCCTCCATACAAAAGTTTGCGGATGACGCCAAGTTATTTCGGGAAATCAAGAACCAAGCTGACTGTGAAGAGCTGCAGAATGATCTCTGTGAGCTCCAAGAACGGTCGAAGAAATGGCCGCTGAGATTCAATGTCACGAAGTGTAAGAGGATGCACCTGGGGCGTATCAACGGTAAGGGGGCGCATCATATGTCCCAACGGGATGAAGAAACTGCACTATTTGAGACAATGTGAGAAGGACCTACAGTAGGTGTGTATGTTGACAATGAGCTGAAGTTCTAGGGCCATTGCGAAAAGAAGGTAAATCAGGCAAATAAATTATCATTTCTTATAAGAAGGCAGTTCAGACATATAGACGGTCCGGACCGTCCCTCATAACGATCTTCAAGTGTGAAGTGCTTCCCCGGCTGGAGTACTGTCACCCCGCCTGGTCCCCGAAATATACGAGGGACTGTCAGTTGATTGAAAATATTTAAAGGAAGGCCACCTGACTGGTGCCTGCACTTCGGCACCTCAACTACCCTGAGAGATTGGAACGCCTGAAGTTGCCTAGCTTATACTACAGACGGGCAAGGGGCGACCTAATTGAGGTGTATAAGCATCACAAGGGGCACTACTCAGTCGAGTGTCCTTACCTGGAGCTGGCGGACGCTCGCCCCACAAGGGGTCCCAGCTCAAGGTTGAAGAAGCCGCAGGTCCAGAAAACTGTAAGGGCAAACTTTTTCGGAGTGAGAGTTGTGAACTCTTAGAACAATCTGCCAGAAAGTGTTGTGACGGCACCGAGTGTGAGCTCTTTCAAGACCAGACTTGACCAACCTTGGAGCAGGTTCAGATACATTCAGGAGCCGGTGCATGCCCAGTACTTGCCAACAGTGCGTAACAGAGACGTGACCGAGCGGCTAACGAGCTGAACAGTGGTGAAGAGGATAAAGGTAAGTAAGTAAAGATGTGATATCTAAGTTGTGACAGCCAGTGTGCAGGAAGCAGGGGAAGCATGGTGCCAGATAGGATTATTAGGGTATTTTGTTCATCACTCCAGTCATTTTGTCAGCTGGTTAGCCGTTCGTTTGTCGTTTGGTATTTTAGTTTTACTCTCTCTCTCTCTCTCTCTCTCTCTCTCTCTCTCTCTCTCTCTGTATGTATTATGTATGCATCGTGGGGCTGTCCAATAAGTTATAAGTCTGATATTATAACCGTAGTGGATTTTTTTTAATTCTTTGAAAATACTCCTCTTCCCACATTGGAGAAATTATCATCCTTTGGTATTGTGTTGAGGATTAAAAAAGGCAACCTCAAAGCAGGTCAGGTGAGTACTAAAGATGGACCATCGCTTTGGTATCTAATTCGTGGAAAGGGTGGGTTGGCGAGTTGTCATTAGATGCCCCAGCCATCATTTTGTTGGTAAACTCTGGGCGATTTTCATCATTGATAACAATATAAGCTGTTTCCATAGAGATCCCCAAAGTTTCCGCATTGGTTCTGATAATCCCGTGGCGATATTGACGGACGTTTTTTTTTTCCTAGCATGAGCTCTTGGGCGTATTTGAGGTTGAAGGGCGCTTCACATTATGTCCAAAGGGCGTGCTAGATAATGTTTCTGACTTAAACGTGATGTGGGCGCAAAGGAAATAAAAACAAACAAACTTTAAACTACATGGCGAAAGTAAGACTAGGAGAGAATTACACACACACACACACACACACACACACATACATACATTTGTAGAAAGGGAGAATAACATACCATAAAGGTGGTATTCGAACTTAGGTGGCATTTGTTACCAGTGGTATCGTCTTGCAGGTCTGCTGGTTGATGGGTCTTGAGCCACAGCTCTGACTGCACCACTAGGGACGATGCGGGCACTCTTTTCCGTCCATCGCTTATCTCGCCACACGCTGCAGGAACGATAAACCATCATTTGTCATACTCTGGTAAGTTTTAAGTACATGGAGGTTGTCTGAGAGAGAAAACTTTTGCAATAGGAGAGTCAAATTTAAGTGTAGAAAGCTTATTTATACCAGGCGTTTACGTCAACAATTAACACTCAAGAAGATATTTTCTCATTCATACGTAGAAAACTTGTGCACCAGGAGAATAGGTACTGTAGATTAATATAGAGACCTTACTAAAAAGAGACATTCACATTTAGTAAACGTTCTCATACAGCGTTTATAAACAGAACAGAATGTCTTAAATCTAGAAAAATTATTGAAAAATTCCTTATCTTAGTTTTAACTCAGAAAATATTTGTGCAAAAGTCTTTTATGTAAATCTAAATTAGAGGAGAGAGGGGGAGAAAAATTAGATATCTCGAGCAGAAATAATTGAGGAAACTGTTAACTAAAGTGGAAAAATACACAAAAACTCGGGCAGAAAGAAAGGGTTTTCTCATTTAGATTTAAAACTTTTACGAGTACTTGGAAATTTAAGGCAGGGCGAAAACCAAACTTTCTTGTCAAGATCACATACTAATAAGTACCTTCATTTTATGCGATATTTGCGTATGTATTACTGTTAAGCGTAATTCGTGTTTTATGCTTTATTCGTTAGTTTATTATATTCGTGCGTTATTTATGCACTTAATGACTTATAGGTTAATTATATTTATATGCTCTTCGTGTGTTTATGAGGACAGCTGTTTTGTATTTTGTTACTTCGTTATTAACTTTATTGTCCAGTGCTAGTATACAGGAAAAGAACCTGGGTGTGTATATTGACAACGAACTGAAGTTTTCAGGCCATTTTGAGAAGGTGCATCGAGCAACTAAGCTAGTAGGTTTTATAAGGGCACCATTCACACACCTAAACCCTTATACAGTAACTCCTCAAAAGTGAGGTGCTTTCCCATCTGAGTACTATCACACCACCTGGTCCCTTGATTTGATTTTATGTGATTGGTTTATTTTTCTGGCCGTCAGCGCTTGGGTTACTTTGGCCGTAACACGTATAATTGCTGCCTTTTCCTTGTCATTTTTTTTTTGCATTTTTTACATTGATATTTATTCTAGTGTATTTTATGCGTTATTCATCCATTTATTGTATACAATATTCGTGTGTTTGTAATACATTATGAATTATTCGTGTGTTTATTGTGTGCATTATTCATGCATTTGTTATATACTGTATTCATGCGTTTATTGTATACGGTATTCGTCTGTATTTTACTTTTGTTGATTCGTGCTAGTTATATTGTTTCATATTCATAAGCTATTTAACTAACGGTTTTAGAGTCGGGTATGTTTGTAACACACACACACGCATAGTTCAGCAATTAAATACAAACACTCGCAATGCACACAAAACACAACCACTCATAACTTACTCAACACAAACCCTCACTCAACCCGACACAACACAAACACTCACAACATACACAAAACATAAACAGTGGCAACGTTCACAACACACAAACAGAAACGCTCTCACCGCTCTTACACACAGAAAAAAGAGACAAGTACTTACACGATGGCATAAGAAAGTAACCTGAAGAGACTGAGGTGGTCTGACAGTGGACAGCTAACGCTAGTAGTGACGTCACCACCACCACTAGGGCCCCTTTACACATTATCTCGCTTCAGTGTCAGTAATCAACAGCCGTAAATAACTGTCCAATTAGATTCTTCTTTGATTGTTGATAATTTAGTCAGGAGTAAAATTTTCCTGTTTGGCTTCTTGGTCAGGACGACGCGTTCGCTATGCGTCCCCTTTGGATGAACACTGACACAATTGTTAGGAATACTGTATTACTCACCTCCTGTAGCGGGTGTAAACGGGAAATGGACATCCTTTGGAGAGACTCCGAAGAAAAATATTTCTTCATTTAAAAAAGATAAAATTTTTAGATAAACTCGTCTATATCTTATCTGTTATCCACGTTAATCTATCCCCTGTGAAACACTTAACTGGTGAAAAAATATTTAGGAAATAATAGTCGTAAAAAGAATTATATTTATGTTAGGTTTTATTTACAAAAGAATAAACTAATTTTTCGTATACTTCTCCCGCCCTTCCAGTTGTACTTACGTAGATAAGCAAGTGTAATCGGGAATATAAAATAATTAACTAAATTAAGACGGATAATATTTTTTTATGAATTAATTACAGGAATACTGAGAAGTGTCACTGTGGATACGCCGAAGACTTGCTCAAGGCAGGAAGTCGTCCTCACGGGAAATTGGGTAGAGTGATTAAACACCTGCTCCTCCTACACTGTCGATAACAACCAAGGTTTTGTTTCGTCCTTCTGGACTCAAATCTCTCTCTCTCTCTCTCTCTCTCTCTCTACTTTATCCTTATCGCCACTGATCTGTCTGTTAGTCGTTTGGGCGGTAGGTCAAGGTCTTTGCTTCGCATTGCTGGCAAGTACTGGCTCCAGAATACTGTAGTCGCATATCTCAACCTGCGCTGCGCTAGTGTAATTATATAAAGCAGCGATTAAGGTCCTTGGAGTGCGCCCACTTTAGGACGGTTAATTACCGAAGTCATATATGCAAAATTTTGAGACAATATTTTTTTTTAACTAGAGTAAAACCTGGAATAGAAAACTAATGAAGGTATTCTTAAGCCATCACTTTTCTTTATCAAGAATTTGCTACGAGTGTGGTAAGAATTGTGAGGCTTGATCGTGACAACATAGAGAAACAAACCTCTGCCACTAGAATAAGTCACTCCTCCATGCAAATGTTTGCGGACGATGCCAAGTTATTTAGGGAAATTAAGAACCAAACAGACTGTTAAGAGCTACAGAAAGATATCTGTGACCTTAAAAAATGGTGCTAGGTTTCAATGTCAAGAAGTGCAGGAGGATGCACCTATGTCGCACCAACAGTTAGAAGGCGTAAACCATGTCCCAACAAGACGAAGAAACTGCATTAATTTACAGTAGACCAAATGTGAAATGGACTAGCGTGTGTATGTCGACAAGGAACTAAAGTTCTCGGGCCACTGTGATATCTGGATGGTCCGTCACTCGTCACGATCTTCAAGAGTGAGGTGCTTCCCCGTCTGGAGTACTTTCACCCCGTCTGGTCCTCGAGGTATGCTGGAGACTGTCAGTTGATCAAAAATGTCCAAGGGAACGCCACCAGACTGGTGCCTGCTGTACGGACCCTCTGCTACCCAGAGAGATTAGAACGCTTGCAACTGCCTAGTTTATATTACATTTCAGGGGGCATTACTCGGTCGAATGTACATATCTGGAGCTGGCGGACGTCCGCGCTACACGGGGTCACAGCTCAACGTTGAAGAAGTCACAAGTCCAAAATACAGTGAGGGCGAACTTTTTCGGAGTAAGAATAGTGAACTCTTGTAACAATCTGCCAGAGAGTGTTGTGACGTCACCGAGTGTGAGCTCATTCAAGGCCAGACTTGACCAACACTGGAGCAGGTCCGAAATATTCAGGAGCCGGTGCATGCCCAGCACTTCCCAACAGTGCATAACAGAGGCGTAACCGACCACCCAAGCAGCTAACGAGCCGATCAGTGGCGAAGAGGATAGAAGTAAAAGTAAAGATTAACTCAATATATAGGTATCATACTGAGGAGGAATCATACACAGCATAACTTATTAATATAATAAAAGTAGAGAAAATAATATATACAAAGGACAAGTAAAGAAACAAATGAAATACAGACACCCACAATCTAACTTAACTTAAACCCTTGCCTCAGCCTTACCATACACTTGAACAGTACAAAAGTATACACCAGTTTTATCCTTATAAATATATCCTGAGTCCAGACCAACTGTACCTCACACCACACCACACTGCCTCCTAGACTCTGAGTAGCTACAGTAATACACTTTTCAGTAACAGGTGACGTTGTAGTAAAACTTTGGGACCTTTCTGAAAATAATGGGAATGTGTCAGTTGAGCTTCATTATTAGATATTCCTTGGTTTACCTGTAGTCTGTCGACGGTGTTGTCTGTCTGCACGAAACGCAATCGTCTGTGGATGTAGAAATTTGTGGTTACTTGGGCACTTTTTCACCTTAATCTTGAGTGATATTAGCTCTTGCTTTTATATACTTACACTTGCAACTGTTTATATTTACTTTAATTTTATCCTCTTCACCACTGATCGGCTCGTGAACCGCTTGGACGATCGGTTACGTCTCTGTTACGCAGTGTTGGCGGTCCATCCCTCGTAACGATCTTCACGAGTGAAGTGCTTCCCCATCTGGAGTACTTTCACCCCGTCTGTTCCCCGAGATATGCTAGGGACTATCAGTTGATTGAAAATGTTCAAAGGAGGGTCACCAGAGTAGTGCCTGCACCTAGGCACCTCAACTACCCTGAGAGATTGGAACGCCTGAACTTGCCTAGCTTATACTACAGACCTAATTGAGGTGTATAAGAATCTCAAGGGGCACTACTCAGTTGAGTGTCGCTACCTGGAGCTCGCCCCAACAAGGGGTCACAGCTCAAGGTTGAAGAAGCCGCAAGTCCAGAAAACTGTGAAGACAGAATTTTTAGGAGTGAGAGTTGTGAACTCTTGGAACAATCTGCCAGAAAGTGTTGTGACAGCACCGAGTGTGAGCTCTTTCAAGACCAGACTTGACCAACACTGGAGCAGGTTCAGGTACATTCAGGAGCCGATGCATGCCCAGTACTTGCCAACAATGCGTAACACAGACGTGACCGATCGCCCAAGCGGCTAACGAGCCGATCAGTGGTGAAGAGGATAAATTGAATTGAATTGAAGTAGTTAATTTAGCCAGAAAAACACAGATGCGGAGTGGATAATAATAACAATATTAACATGGCTGAGCCAGTTGAGAACCTGAGTTCTCTTTTAGGCACTTGATATATACAGTATACAATACATTTATTTCAAGGAAGAATTATGTAACATTTAGTAACATCTGGAACAGTACAATAACATGGTGGTAATAAGAACATCTCATAATGTTACCACGGCTATCACTTCAATATGTATTTATTTTATTTATTTATTATTATTTTTTTTAATTTAGTTTTTTATTTATATTTTAAGTATATACATAAATTACAGTGGAATTGAAAAACATAAGTATAATGGGGGAGCAGTACAACATGGGTTGTACAGTACTAAGGTTGAACAAGAGGACAAAGATGTCAGGATTATGTCTAGTTGGCAAATAGTTTATTGCAATGGTAATTTCTTATCTATTTCCATGATAATTTCCGATAAAACGGTTTTGATGGTACAATAAAAGCAGGTACTGTAAATATAGTAGGTGTTACAAGATATATTAATACTTAGAGTCTTAGACGGTACCCCTTCTGCAAGAAAGGTATGTAAGAAGAACTAAACCTGTATATTATTCAATTAATGTTCGGCACTTGACTGCTGCGCCATCTCTTGAGCTCTCTTTCATAGAAAGAAAGCGGATCTAAGTTTACCCTAACTATTTAAATATTTACGGCCCCAAGCTCCCTCATCATAGAAAACGTATAATTTTCTAGAGACGGTCTTGTCTTTAGTGTAGACTCCTGTCATAAGCCGTATGCATTTCTGTCTTTTTTTTTTCTTTTTACCCTCTTCACCACTGATCGGCTCGTTAGACGCTTGGGTGGTCGGTCACGTCTCTGTTACGCACTGTTGGCAAGTACTGGCATGCACCGGTCCTGATTGTGTCTGAACTTGCTCTAGTGTTGGTCAAGTTTGGTCTTGAAAAGGCTCAAACTCGGTGCCGTCACAACATTCTCTGGCAAATTGTTCCAAGGGTTCACAATTCTCAGTCCTTGGCATGGGCATCGGTAGTTATGTATGGTGTTGGGTGTCCTTGTTAATTTTTTCATCTAATAGTTGTCTCTCTCTCCTTCGCTTTCGTCATCCATTTAATGATGAGTAGACGTTTGTGTGTTTGGATCTATGAGAGTTTATGCGTTTGTCAGTATTTTTTAATGTATGCACTTGTATTTGTTAAGTATGTGTGTGTGTATTAATAATTAATAATAATAATTAACGGTTTATTGAAAAAGTTCTGCAGCCCGAAGGCTGAAAATGTGCATTAAACAAAAATTACTTATTACATACAAAGACACGGGGTAGGTTGGTCGTTTAACAAAAGCTTTCATTTCTGAAAGAAGGAAATTATTATAGTTTACCGTTGATGGCCCGGGCTGGTCATTGAACACCAGGTGGTGTGGTGTTCACGTGGTGCAGTGACTCGTTCTCGGGTGTTGATATGAAGGACCTCACGTGGTTAGGGGGACACCTGTGGTGTGGGGTGGTGTCACAGTACCTCACTCTCTGCTCGGTGATGTTGTGTTATCTCGTAGTCAGGTGCATAGCCGGCCCTCTGTTGTTTCCAGGGTGGACGGATAACAACCGTCTGGTCAGAGGATGGTTCCCAGGGGTGCTTATCTCAGTGGTAGGTCACGGCTCTCACTGGTACTGTCTAGTGCTGAATTCACAGGCTTAAACACTGTTCAACACTGATCCCACTTTCCGAAACGAAATTGTCACTTTTGATTTTGTAGATATCCCGGTGGTGAGGATGGATCGGGAAGAGGAACTTCAGGAATGGGGCCGAACATGGCCAAGGGGGGCCGCTGCTCAACAGGAGCAGCGCTTGAATAGGTCTTGACCCTACGGTGGTCAAGGATGTAGTGTGTGTGTGTGTGTGTGTGTGTGTGTGTGTGTGTGCAGGTGTAGGCGTGCAGGTGTAGGCGTGCAGGTATGCCAAAGTACGTCAAAGAATTTTGTTTTCTTCCATACGTAACTGCTTTTATGTGTGTGCTTGATAA